TGCATTGTGACGTTCGACAGCGTGATGAGATTGAGCCACGCAGGGATAGTGAATCTAGGTTCCATAGTAGCTCCATTTCGCATAATCCAACTGAATGAGTGCAGTGCGTACGTTGGTCATTCTTCCTGCACCTCTGTTGCAGCGCTGTTCGGTTTCCACTTGCCTTATCGTGGAATTTTGCAGTGATATACTTGCTAACATCGATGTAACCTAGGTCAACGATTAGGTCGTCATTTGGGCTCAAGTTGTCAATCATTCTACTCTTTTTGGTAGTTTTCGAAATGACAGCCGAACTGCTGATTGGGTTAGAACACTGGTATTAGGAATCTGGTGTTATGCTATTTACAACCGTAGTTAGATTCGTTCTGCTTCTCCCAAAGCGAATTATGCTTGATACTGAGCGTGCGTCTGGGGTGTGGGCGTTAACGATAGCAGTTGTTTTAGGTGAAGTCTGATTCTTGTGCTGGAGTTTCAGTTCATGGATTACCTCTAGATCCGAAAGTTGGCTTATGAAAAATTATGCACGGGAGTAGAGGTCAGGACCATTTGGTGGTCACGGGTTAATCGTTTATCTACTGTCAGGTATCGGCTATACGGTCGTCCCTACTCTGCCAAGTTTGGCTGTTGCTGTTTCGCCTGGTATGTTAATGGCTGCAAGTGCTGTGACGGATTTTCGTGTGGTGATGGGGGTTCCGTCAGTTCTCGGATTTTTTGAATACAAGGTGTGCTGTATTTCTGGAACCTCTTAGGTGAATCCCGGTTAGGAGTCTTCATTTAACAACTAGGTGTCTGTCACGCTGCATCTACGGTCTTGCGTTTAGAAAAACAGGTTTAGGATTCATCAGTCTAGCGTTTACTAGCGTGGTTTCGTCTCCTTGCAACAGCTATTACGGATTCCATGGGGCAGGTTCGAATTTAGCGTGGGTAGTTATATTTGCGAGGGTTTGTTTAGCATTTTAAGAATGTAAGACACTCTGATTATCCTGTACCTAATCAGGGACATGTGTTAGGGGCTTTGCACCTTGATACCGGGGTTGTAAGCATAAGTTATTTTGGTGCTAAATTTTGACCGGTATGCCACTTTCATTTGCAAAAAAAAATTGACCACCAAAGCTCGGGGGTGAACCTTAAGTCGTGGATAAAAGTAACTGGGCGAGGCATTGAATTTTTCGCTGGAGGGTTAAAATTTACTAGAATGTTTGCACACTCAAGTTCATTAGGGTTGACGTTAGTCTCCACAAATGTATTTCCTGCTCGCATCTCTTTCGCAAGTCCGTTTGCCGTCTTTCCAATTTGTAGCCGATTCTTATCATTAAACAGCACTATGAAAACGTGCATTTAGCGATGGTTAATGTTTTCACTTTTATTTAGTGCTGTCAATTCTGCGAATCTATAGTTGAAACCGCAATTAAGTCGCCTCTCTAAAACCTCTAATCTGGGACGTTATTCGCTTTGTGAATGCATTCTTGAAAGGGCGTTTGGCGGATAACCAGGTGTTCATTAAGTAGTGCAGACCAATCTGTTAGCTACTAGGAGAGTAGGTTGGAATCCAGAAAGGGTAAAAGCAGTGCGGTCTTCAATCCATCCATCAATAGTACCAGCAGTGGACGTTGGAGCCACGAGGCAAACGATCATTTCCAATGTCGATTTAATTGTAGTTATGATGTAATTCGAATTGCGGCAAAGTCTGTATTGGTGGGGTGCCTAGGTCAGGTCGCATTGGAAGCGATAGGACTGACCACGAGGCGAAGTGATCCTATCAAGGGGAGTTGCGGCTGCGGCGATCTTTCGCACGTCTACTGATGGAAACACTCGCAAGATAAAACTTATAGGCGCTCCACGTCAGCAATGTGAATGGAGCTGGTTCAAGTACCCACTACCGAGTAGTTAAACCACCTTCTAATCTTTAGAATTATCAGCTTGTAGATATCCGAAGTGTGGCGCTCGGGTCTAGTTTGAGGTTATGGTAAGCCGTATTACTAGCAGATAAAGGAGTGAAGGCTCTAGACACTGTTAAGGCCATGCCATAGAAAGTTAGAACCACGGAGACTGGTTGTGCTCCGCATTTACATGGTCATTAGAGCAAGAATCGAGTTGCTGTAGAAGCCAGTCGGCAGCATTTTAAGGAGTAGAATGGCCGTTAAAAAGCGGGGTATTCAAACTAGTTCCTGTATAATTTTGCGACGGGATTTCCGGTTTACTAATTTATGTTCTGACGCATGGCTTCGTACTTGCATGTAGCGTATTGAGACTCCCTGAAGAAGAAAGAAGACAAAATACTCGGGCAGAATAGATATCCAGCGCAGAGATGTGTGGGCTATTGGCATAGCCCGAAGGCTGGCCCACCCAGCAGGGTACAAGAGAGCTAATTCAAAGTACAAAAGTCGCGCCTCACCAGTACCGAGGGATAAACCACTGTCGTATTACATGCAAGCCTGATAATGTCTTCAGGTGTAACTTTGGAATTCAAATGTAAGGTGTGTCCAACATTAGTTGCCTTAAGTAAAAAAGACCCTAGTGTTATGGGTAAATGCCGCAAATATCCCCAGATATTCATGAGAAATTTCGAGGTGCATCTCCACTGTTATGTCGGTTTAAGATTCGTAACCATCGAGCAATTGAAATTTAAAATAACACTTATATGCTCTTAAGCTTGTGCAGATTAATTTTAAGGAACAAAAAAATATAGGTTTGTCTCGTTTTTAAAGCGAATTTTTGATTAAATGTTGGTGTGCCGCGCGTTTTACGAGGTACTGCGGTTAGGTCGGGTGCCGGCTCGGGTGCATGTTTGTTTCTCTGTAACATTATTTAATTGTTTAATTATGCCCTGTAACCTCCTTGATTCTTTTGCTATAGGTAAATCCGCGTCATTGAACCCCAGGCAATGGGTTTTGATAATATCAACTACTCGCACCCTAGAACTTGCGGTCAGGGAAGTCGCTGTTGTCGCGTTTGCTCCAACAGACACGGTGTCATCCGGAAATATGGTCTGAATATGTGCCGTCAATGCCTCCGGCAATATTGTGCACTCATTGGCTTCAAAAAGCTTGACTAAATAGGTATTTTGCAAGACTAGTTCCCCTGCCTGAATTTTTCCTTTTTCGCAAAAGTGAGCGCTTAAGTTCTCTCGACAACTTCTTGGCTCTTTTGTCATGCCGGTAGAGCTCTTGCTACGTGCCCTTTATCTTGCACTTTTACATGGTGTCCGCCTACAACTACACAATCATAATTAATATAATCTAGTTTCTGGCCTTCTAACGTTACACAGGATTTTCTTGCGGCTGGCTGCTTCACCTACATCACTGCTACTCTACTTTGCGCCTGTTAATTAAATGTTCTAGTTGATCGTTCCACGCTTCTATTCACTCCCCAAACTGATGTGTCGTATCGCCCCCATCAGTTATAGCGCCTCTAATTGACCACTGTAAGGGCAGCGGATGATAATAATATATTGGTTGTGTTGACCGCTATCCTGATAGTTTCTTATATCCATGGCACTGCTTATTGGTGTGCTATTAGGTCTTCTGGTTTGTGCGCATTAACCACCTTGCTTTGTTTAATTGTTAAATTGAAACAGCAGCCCAGACGCTGTGTTCATCCGTAGAGGGGTCAAATTCTAGACAGCTTGTTGTTTCATAGTGATTCTGTATTAGGGTTAGTCTCAGAGACAGGGAAAAGGAATCGATTAATTAGTGGTTATTGGAGGGTTCCGAGGGGGGGGGGGGTGGACGGCACCATGTGCCATCCTATTTTGCTGGCTCTGAGTCTTTGGTTGCGCTTGACCTTTGGGCCATCAGTCGGTGTAGATGAACCCAAGCATATTGTGTGTCTATTCGTCGTATGTTTTGGGACACACCTGAAACCTCTCTGGCCTTCTGTATTCCGGCAATGTTTACTCATTTTATTACTGTGGAAGACTCAGGTGCTGCACTGCAACAAAGTTATTACAGAGCATTTGGTGGCATTAAAGTCAGAACCCTCACGTGATATGCTGCAGTGACAACTTATTTTGTTGTCTAGTTTTGCCGTTTGAAGTAATTCTAGCCACAGACTACTAGGCGTAAGTACTCTCAGGTTGCATTGCTGTGGTAATTCTGTAACGTCCTCTGGAGATGCCATTCAGTTTTCCAACCCCCCCTATAATGTTCTCATGCAACACTTAGGTTGTTTTAATATACCTTTCAGGGAGGAGGCAAGCAGGAAATTCGAATCTTGTGACTGGATCGTCCTCTCCCGTACCTAGTTACTCCAGCTCCCCTCCTTGAACAATGTTTTTTCCCTCTCCATCTTGTCAACTTTAATAAATGTCCAAAGCGAATCAACCGGGCTTGTCTAAGAACGCTAGGAATAGGGAAGCGAAGACCGATGAGTCTCGCTCCACACTCAAAAGAGGACGGGTAATGTGTTCAAAATGCCGAGTGTCAGATACGTGTTACAAGCAATGCTGTCCTTCCCCCCGATTACCTGATGCATTTGTGCATGCAACCGATGTTTTTAAGTTAGATTATTCTTTGTCTATGGCTATATCACAAAACGTCTCTGATCGCTGAAGTGCTAGAGTACACTCAAATAAGCTTTGATCTTTCGCTTAAAGTAAGGATATTAAATAGTGATGGCAATGTACTGCAAATCTGCTCGTTGTATTTAGCAAGCAGATCTCATTTATGATCTTTTGCAATTAAATTCTAGCGAAGATGTTTTGGCTATACACCTGGTTGACTTATTATAGTCCATTAATTCGTTTTCTTTAATGCCATGTTTGTCTCAACTCAGAAGACTGCGTTTCTGATTGAGGCGCGTTGGTCAAATGGGCTGGGAGTCGGTGAGGGTGGTAATGGCGGTTCTGGTCGCCTCAATTTGGTTACGTGATATGAATATGGGCACATTGGTTTTTATAGTCCTATTTTTACTATTCTCTATTTGCGCTGAATTGCAGCTTTCTTATAAGTGGGACCAGTCCCAATGCTTCATTTGTTGCATGAAACAATGTAACTCGTAGGACTTCCCAATATTTGTTCAAAATTTCTCACTTTTTCGTCTAAATTAGGAAGGGTACTTATCCCTTGGTTTGTAGTTTGCTCAGCTCTCGCTCTACTTCGTCTCATTGTTGATTGATAGTCCTTATTTTGTTTTCTTTATTGCTTTGTCTTTCAGTGACTTATTAAGGGCCTTGAGAGACTAATAATGTCAAGTACGAGTTCTCGTTCAACACGAAGCCGTCGTGGTGGCGGTGCCCCACTGCAGCCATCCGTCGAACCCATGTCTGCCGACCTCTTTACAACTGGCACTCCCCAACTTGACGCTGAAGTGAGTGAGGCTCCAGGTACTGCTTCTTCCAGCTCTCAGAGAAGGGGCGTTGTGGATGAACAGTCGGATGCAGTGAGTTTGAGCCTAACTTCTCACTCTCCATGACATTCGTAAAGCATTGCCAGTCCTTTTATCACGCATTCTTTTCAAGGACCTCCGCTCCGGTCTACGAACCTCCGAAATTGATCCTGGCAGTCCACTCTCCTACAGTGATATGTCCAGCATGCCGGGTAGTCATGCTGGTGATGCGGTAAGCTCAATGCGACCCGGGGTCAATGAGGGCGGCACACCAAGATCTCACTTTGCTGCCTCCGGGCCAATCGGACACACTGTAGATACCGAGATTGGGTCTTCTGCTGAACCTGGTGCTCAGGCAGGTTTTTGCTCATTGTAGTTTGTACATACAACACTTTTGAACCGATCCAACATTGCTATTTCGCCGAGCAGACTGTAATCTGGGGCACCAACGTGAACATAGCGAAAGTAATGGAACAGTTTAAACGATTTCTTCTCAATTACACTCTCCGCGAGCTTCAAGGTCAGTCGGGTCTGACCACTGGAGTGCCGTTAGATCCGAATCGACCGCTTTACTTGCAAAGAATGGAGGATATGGCAGTGTCAGGCGCCACCACTCTCGATATTGACTGTCAACACCTACGGGAGGTACAACCCGAGCTCTACAACCAACTTATCACTTTTCCAAAAGAGGTCATTCCTGCTTGCGACGCCTCCCTTCATGCTCTCTTTCTAGATCGTTTCCGAGATGCCAGACCGGAGAGACCTTTGCAGGTAAATGCTGGTCGGTGTCCCTTAGAGTTCTCCAGATTTAAGATATATAGCGTTTTCTATTTACCCATGCAGACCCGCCCATTTAACAGCGGAAAGTTGCGTTCTCTTCGTGAGCTAAATCCGGAAGATTTAGATCAACTCGTATCGATAACAGGTCTCGCCATTCGCCTCTCCAACCTCATTCCCGAGATGATGCGAGCGGAATTCAAGTGCGCAGTTTGTGGTGCCATGACAAGCGTTGTGTGTGAGCGTGGGCGGGTGGAAGAGCCCTCGGCTTGTGCTCGCTGCCATGCCGCGCATACAGCACAACTGCAGCACAATAGGTGCCTCTTCGTGGACAAGCAGCTCATCAAACTTCAGGTCGGCTTTGCTGGTTGCATTTACGGTCTTGCTACCAGCTGTATATGAGTAGCAAGTTTTTTGTCATCGTAGGAGGCTCCTGAAGACATGCCAGCTAGTCAGACGCCGCATACTGTTGCGCTGTACGCTCACGAGGATCTCGTAGACAAACTGAAGCCTGGTGATCGGGTTTGCGTGACGGGAATCTATAGAGCTGTACCTCTCAAATTGTCCAGTCGTATAAGAACTTTGAAGGCCATCCACAAGACCTACATCGATGTGCTGCACTTCAAGTATGCTGACTTTTGTACGAGTCCTATAATGACTGCAGACTATGTAGGGTCTTTGCCAGGACCTGCCTTTGTATATCGTTATTTACTAGAATCGAACGTCTGTGCAGGTTTGTGACGGGTGTGTAACCCGTTGTTTCAGCAATCAAGCAGTCGAACAGAGCTATTATCTAGTACTTTCATCTTCGCGCGGCCCGTATTTTTGGGAATTGGTGCACCCATAATTGTTGTGTAAACATATTCCTCTGCTCAGAATTGCAAATTACTTGGCCCGATTAAGAGCCAGTATCCATTTCAGTTCAAATGCTCTAACCTACATTGTTACCGTTCTATTTTTAGGTTGTGCTGTTAAGTTTCCCTTGTTAAAGGTAAAACCCATCCTCATATTATGAAATAAATAAACTCCCAAGTTTTGCTGCCAGAACTTCTGCCTTTATTTCACCTGTAAGTTACTTCGGTACCCTCTACTACTGGATGTGCTTGTCGCTATCCTTACGTAGTAGTCAGTAGATTCACTAGTTTTTTTTTTCATTCAAAGTACGGTTTAAACGTACTACCATCATTCATTACTTCGCGAAAGAATAAACGTCTTCCAGGTTATCCGGGCAGAAACAACGCTAGTTCAAGGATAGGCCTCTTGTAATGGTGTGGAAGAAATGGAAGCTAGAAGCGTGGAAATTTTAAGTTTTCGGTAGCATTCACGAGACGTTTCACCTTTGAGTGCTTCAACTTTACTTCCAGGAAGGAGTTGTCAAGACGCCTTTTCGTCGACGATGAGGAGGATGAAAACGAGGTGGCAAGATTTGGGGAGATGACCGCATCAAACGTGATGCGTCACCTCAGTGAGGAGCGCATTACGCAGATCATCGCTCTTTCAAAGAAACCCGACCTCTACGAACGGCTCTCTGCTGCCATTGCACCCAGCATCTACGAAAACGAGGACGTGAAAAAGGGCATTCTCCTGCAGGTGAATAGTTTTTTACACTGAAATTATCGGGGTGATCGTCCCCCTCGAGTGTTGAATTAAACATTGTTCTCATCATCTTTTTAGTGAATGTTTGTTTGTTTTTCAGCAAAACTTGCGAGTCGAGTCAGCATACGGCAGTGTTTATTGTGTGAAGGCGAAGAAAAATTTTTTTACTAAAATGTGTAACGCAATTTGTCGAAGTTTTTTTTCAATTTAAACCAGTTTGTGCTATTTTTGAGGGACCGATTTTACCTTTAACAGAGTTGAGAGACAATTGTCATTAGCGCCTACCAGCACAGGCTTGCTGCTCATTCTACGTTACAGAACACTATTCCTTAAAGCAGACAACCCAACTACATTCACGTCTGTTTCATCTCGCTTTTATTTTTCGATTGTTTTCGCATGAGATCATGTGATTGTCTAATGCTAATGCCGAGAAAGTGTGATAGTCATTTATCTCTGATCCTGGCTAAAGCCCAAATCTTTTCATGTGTAAGTTTTTCAGTAGTGTCAGGTCTTTCACCTTGTAAGACTGGTAAGCCCGGGCGGCTTCTGAAAATGAAGCCTTTCTTGCGCATTTCCAAGTTGCATCAGGTAAATGGATTTGAGCCGTAATTACTCGACTTCCTGCTGTCCCTCGCATTCAGAGCGGACGCAGTTTTCAGGCTGCAGAGTAGTGGCTGGATCGTTCGAGGGAACAGCTGACTAATGCAGGGCTTGCTTAGTGTACGGTGGAATCCAAACGCCATTTCTCATCAGAAGTCCTCCAGCTATCAAAGTGCAGCGCATCCTTATGAGGTGAATGAAATGGACAAGTTGGTGGTATTTTGAGCTTATTATCACCCATTAATGCGCTAGTTGTAGTACTTGTTTGTCCTGCTTCCGCCGCAGCTTTCCTTGTGTTAGTCTCAATTTAACGCGTCATCAGGACTACTCTTCCTCGGGCGTGATGTATCAGTCTTTGCATGATTCAATACCAGAATCAAATTCCCTAAACCCTTTCTGGGAGTACTTTCTGCTACTACACTTCTTCAAATCCTGTGCAGCTCTAGCGTCGAGTCTAAATTCGTAAAGCAGACAAGCTTTAAGCACGTCAGATTCATACGACACTTTATGGCCGTTGAGAGTAATGGGACAATAATGAGTACCCATAGGTTGGCCTATAACCCGGTCCTACATTACATGTTGACAGTTTTGTGCACTTTTGGTGCCCACAAGTTGCAAAATATTGTTGCAGCTACCAACACCGAAAACCACACGAACGTTTTTAATCACCTTATGGCGTTCAGGTTTGTAGCTGCTTCTAGAGGAAAATAAAGTGTTGATGAGATTTTCAAAGGTTTTTTTTTCAGATCACTCCCTCTAAATTGCAACTACCTTTGGCTTCCGTTTTGGAATTTGATGTCTGTTTCATTTATCCTTTACCTTCTCCATTATACTTCTAGTGGAACATTTTTTCGATATTGAGCTTACGAAGCTCTTAAGTCCTGTATAGCGAGGTGCAGCATCGCAGTTGTTGCCTGGCATCTTAACTGCTGCTTCTGAGATTGTTTCTTTTTCAGCTTTTTGGTGGTACGAGAAAGGACTTTGCGTCGAAGGGTCGTGGCAACTTCCGATCGGAGATTAACATCCTCCTATGTGGAGATCCCGGCACTTCAAAATCTCAGCTGCTGCAGTACGTCTACAGCATCTCTCCACGCGGTCAGTACACTTCGGGGAAAGGCAGCTCGGCTGTTGGTCTAACCGCTTATGTTACCAAGGATCTTGAGACGGGACAGCTCTCATTGCAGACTGGTGCTTTGGGTGAGTTTCGTGGGATTCTGAGTTATCACTGAATTTCTTAAATGAGGCCGATTTCCTTGATATGTTAGATGGAGTGCTCTTAATCCGTCTTTATATCTATCCCATTTTTCCTCCTACATCCCAATCTGGCCTTTGGTTATAATCTGACTGACTATTCTTCTCCTATTCAACGAGAGGGAGATATTTCTCCCTTCACGGTATGGTATATTTGATACATCAAATTTGTAAGTTTCAGTTTTGTGTACGTATGAGATTTGCGAAATTTTTTTATCTGGTTATTTTAAAATATACAATTGTTCCAATTGTTCCAATTTTACCTGTCGTTGTATCACTCGTATATTTTCACTGTAGAACATCCCCCTTGTACTTTCACTTTCATTAGGGATGCAAATGATTTGTGGAGGGTTTTGTCTTTTGCCTATTTGGATACGCGCAAATATTCCACGGAGCCTTGATCTCTGCAGCGTTCTTCAAAGAACTTGTTACCACATTTCTACCAGCTCGCTCACTCCATCTTTTCTTGAGGTCACTACTGAGCTCTGGGCCTTGATGACTCAGCTGGGCTCGTCACCATTACTTTCTCTCGCGTGTCCCCATACGTGCGCTGTGCATGTGGATATTTGTCCCTTCCCCTTCATCCCCGGCACTTTCTCTACGGGTCTAAGTCGCCATTTTGAATTACCGGCTCTCTGTCATCCTTGAATGAGGAGCGATCAAAGGTCATTTTTTTGTGGTGCTTTGGCTCCTTACGCTACCAAATAGATAAGGATATCTATGTCTTCTGAATGTGAAAAAATTGTCAGTATGTCAACTAAAGGTTTTGACCTATTAATTCCTTCTTCTCCTGTACTTTAAAGATTTACACCGAGGTGTAACAGTAAGGTTGGGTTTCGTGGCTTGTCTACAGCTTGACGAGTTTTTTATGCGTCCACGTAATAGAATTATCTGTTAAACTTTCAATTTGGCAAATGCCGTTGTGTCATGTTCCTTTTTTACGCGCGACGAACTCATCCCTTATTAAAATTAAAGGAATGCCTTAATTTTATCTCATTTTACACTTCTGACAGGCTTCATTATTAAACAGGCGAACCAGTTTTAATTGGCCAATTGCGTGCGACATGCACCTTGGGGGATTTCAACACAATAAATGTCATTGCTTCGTTTTGCGTAATTGGAGCTTATCTACGTCCTTGCTGACTTGTGACGTTCCGCGCATCATTTGATGAATCCACTATTCTTTCGGGGCGTTGCATTACATCAGCCACAGTTTCTGTCTAGTAACTGTTCACTAAACGTTGGTTTTAGTAGCAAGTTATCTGTCTTTTATTTCAAAGGGACGCTATTTTAAGTTCTATCACGTCTATTTCATTCGATTCAGAAGTTCTTATTCCGCTGTATATAAAATAACTGTCCTTTTTATGTTTGATCAATCTAGAATATTTTTTTCTGCCTTCTCGGTGTGTGTTACAATACATGTACATGCTTAGGCATGTTCCCTCGAATGTCCTGCTTTATCTGTGGCTCAACTGCGTTTTTAGATTAATTTACATAGGTCTTCCTGTCATTTTTGCCGGTCATAATGGTAGCTTAACCTCACCCGCTTTTACTATCTAGCTCTCGCCGACAATGGGACTTGTTGCATCGACGAGTTCGACAAGATGACTGACTCCACTCGTTCTGTTCTGCACGAGGTGATGGAACAGCAAACTCTAAGTATTGCAAAGGCTGGGATCCTCTGCCAATTGAATGCTCGTACCGCCATTCTAGCTGCTGCTAATCCCGTCGGCTCTAAGTGGGATCCCTCCAAAACCATTATCGATAATATCCAGGTTGGTGCAATTCTACTTTTTTCTTCATGATAGTGATGAGCTACATAATAGTAGCAACGAAAATAGCCACTGAATAGGAATGCTTTGCTGTGTGAATTTTTCCGTTGTGTTGTGGGTACTGGTCAATCACCTCTGTGTGTGCGCAGAGATGGAAAGGCGTTAATTAGTTAAATCACGCGTTATCTTTACTTGAGTAATCCCACAGAGGTTCGGCACATGCACTGTCCAGAATCTGACACATTTCTGTAACATTGAGGGTGTGTGTGTGTGTGTGTGTGTGCCTATCCAGTCTCACCTCTCTCGTCCATCGATTGTCGGCCAGCAGGTCTGTTCGTTTCCCTCCTTTCATCCAGACATTAGTATTAGCCTCATTCTCCTCTCTCGGAAGTCTGATTTGTGAAGATCTGGTTCTCATTTCGATCAAGATTCTCTAGAATTCAATTTTGGTTTTGTTTTGATTGTCTTGATCTGCTCTAAACATGCATACACAGAAAGTAAAACCCGAGGTAGATAAACTGATAAACGAAAATTTTTCTCACACTAACAATTAGGAAGAAAAGTACCTCGTTCGTCGTAGTCAGCTGTTTTCTGAAAAAGCATTTTCTTGGCTCCTGGTGTTGAGATTTGTCAGTTAAAGTGTTGCATTTTCTAATGGATCCTTTGAATATTTCCTTTTTTAACGGGAAGCAAAAAAGGCAATGCCAATAAAGGATTGGGTTCATCACTAGCTGTAGCAGTCGAAAACGAATGTATTGGCAGGCGCGGTGTACCATAACCAACCTCACTAATCGTCGTCCTACTCTGTTGCTATTAATACAGCTGCCGCACACGCTTCTCTCCCGCTTCGACCTCATTTTCCTCATCCTTGACCCGCAAAATGAGGTCTATGATGCGCGTCTGGCTCGTCATCTCGTGGGTCTCTACTACAAGGGCACGGCCAATGATCGCTCGCGACGCAGTGCTACCATGACCACCCTCATGGATCTGGATGAGGATGATCCCGTCTACCATGGCGACTCGGCTGCCATGTTGCGTGACTATATTGCTTATGCTAAGGTGAGTCCAACCCGTCTGTTGTTTGATGACTTGCAGTTTTCCTAACCACACCTATGGGACTTCAGCACTGACTTCCAATGCTTGTAGGGGTTGCACTGCGGATTAACGTGAAATAGTAATTTCCGTCTGTTATTTTTTGCCATGTAGATTGCGAACTTGATCTTCGAAATTCAGATTTGCTTGCATTCATTTTGCTTCAGGCCATGTACCATCCAAAATTGAGCGAAGAGGCCAGTGAATATTTGGTCCGTGAATATGTCGAAATGCGCAAGCTTGGTGCCAACCGTGGACAAGTAAGTTGTAGTTCTTCTAATCCACTACATCTTAGGGTTGAGTAATTTGCGTCATTAAGTGCGATATGCATGACCCCTATTCAAGTGTTTATTTCATCTTGTCTTGAGAAAAGTTGCTGCATAGTTCATTAAAATACACACCTAAGTATCTGAGAATCTCGGCGGGTAGGAGGCAGGTATCCGCGAGTTGTTTGGTTGTATGCCAACTTGAGACCATTAAACACCTTGATACATTCTTTAAATCCCGATCAATATCCCTACACCGTCCAATTTTATCCTCTAAACGCGTGTATTACGAGAACCTGTTTGCGTTACGTCTTCATGCTACGACAGCAAAGAACCACAGGCTCTGAAGCGAGAGAGTTCTACTCTGATCCCTAATTGTTTATTTTGTGCAGTTAAGTCGGTTCTCCTAATCACTTTATTTCCCCTTCCGAGTTTCTGAAATACTTTTTTGATTTTAGGCTTTTTATCTCAGTCAGTAGTGTCGGTTCGCGCTTAGTTCTTAATGGTTATATCAATCGTTTACACCGTAACAGCTTTCGTTTCATCATCATCATCATTCGCCTTCATCCCTCACTTGATTTCACCAGTTGGCTAAATTTTTGCACAGCTGTATTGGTTTCGCAGCGAAATTCATAGTTGAAAATAGTAGCTTTTACTGATTTCTCGATGCTTTTATATTTCCTTCGATTTGATAGATCATATCGCCTCAGAAGCACTCTGACTGGGCGAGATCCTATATGTACTTACGAAGCCATTTCTGTTGCGGATATTCCCACTTTATTATCATTTTCTGTTGCTTCGATGAGCATTTTACAGATCAGTTCCACATTGTATCAATCTTTCATTGTATTTTACCTCCATCACTGTTATCATTACCCTCTAGATCTCGGCATATCCACGTCAGCTGGAGTCTTTAATCCGTCTAGCCGAGGCGCACGCTCGAATGCGTTTGTCGCATTTCGTCAACGCCGACGACTGTCGTGAAGCCCGACGCCTGCAGCGCGAGGCTATCAAGCAGGCTGCTATTGATCCGGTTACTGGGACCATCGATATTAACATTCTTACCACTGGTGAGCCTTTGTCTCCTATCTCCATTGTGGTCAATTGTGAAGTTATTTTGACCTTGCTCACTATCACAGACGTTGTTGGTGATGGTGGAATTATGTGGTCATTACCATTCCTGCCTGCAAAAGTTTTGGCAACCACATCGGTTAGTGCAAACGATATCATAGTATTGCAGTCGAGTATTGGTGACCCAGTAAGTGCGATTCAACGCAGTCTACTCTAGAGGATTGGCAGTACACAACGGCTGCAATCAAGTTTTTGGCTATTTGATATTTTGGATGTTCAGGTTTTTGGATCCTGTGGAATTACCAATAATTGTCAACATCTATTTGGCATTGGTGTTCAAACGAACACTGGTTACTCATCAAGGATTAATTCTAAATTACTGTGGTTGTGATGATGCGGTGCCTAGTGTTGCTTGTTGATGGGCCGGCAGTCTTGGCATGAAAATCCGTGAAAGTGGAAGATTAAATGTGTATGAAACCCTTAAAAGACATATCGTTGGAAGTGTGATTCACTTGTTTCTTCTATCTTTATCTGGTGGTTTGAACGGTGATTTGATCATATCAGGTCTGTGATGCTCACAAGGATTGAGAGCGGTAATGGTACCTTGGGTAATGTTATTCTGCTCGTCTGCATTGCATTTGACTGTCAGACTGTTTAGTTTTTGTTGGGGCTCCACATTCATAGTTTCGTTATCCCTTACTGCTCAATACTTTGTCTACCTTTACTTCTTCCTAGTTATTTTTAAATATTGAGGAAATTTGTACGAAAAAGAAACAGATTGATGTTGTATTTAATGGTGAAATAACCATTTAAATATGAATGATGCTGCTTTGGTCGTTTTTCGGGTCTAGTGTGTTCAAATTTGAAAATAGCGCTACAACTGTTAGACTAGAAATTGATATTGAGTTTTTTGTTGAATTGCCTAAGGCAGCCCCATAAATGCCTAATTGACTGCTGCAGTTTGACGAGTTGAAATCAATGTCGATTCCTCTCACATAGTTTGAGAACTGTTTCAACACTTAATTTTATGAACCCATTTTCAATTATGTGGTTTCATTTTCACCGCCTCGGACTATCCAACGGCCCATTAAGGCTCTGTTCGTAGAGTTAACAGCTTAGACACCAAAGGCTTGCGTCAGCGTTTGGCTAGTCAGTTCGATCATCTCGGATGTACCCCTAGAGATTGATGGCTGTTTTAGTATCCTTTCTCAGAGATGCTATCAAGCAACGGTTACCGTTGGCCCGGTTGTTTGCACTACTTTTGGATAATCGCTCGTCTGTCTTCCTCCCCCAGGCGTGAGCAGCAGCATGCGAAAGCGACGGGAGGAGATGGCGGCATCCATATGGGCGATTCTGGAACAGAGTCCACGAGTCATCACTTTTGCATACTTGCGAGTTTTGGAGCAGCTACGTGCCACCTCCGAGCGCATGGTTTCCGCCGAGGCGTTTGAGGACGGGCTCAATGTGCTTCGCAACGCCAACAAGATAGAGTGGGCTGGTAACACCATCCGTAAACGCTAGATGATTTCCTCTTTCATCTACCTGCCAGTCGTCTAAATGTCAATCCGTTTCTTCAGTTAAGCAAGCAACGGTCAATCATTCGAAGATGAAATTTTTCTCAAATAATAATAAGAATTTTTTGTATTAAATAAATGGCACGGTTTCTTGCATATTGAATGGGTCCGGTTTAATTGAATCGTGAACGGGTAACATTTGGGTTTTTGTTAGGTGGCGACAGCTTACCAGGCTTTTTGGGTGAGTGAAAGTATCCCGTTTTCGCCGTGGGATTGTGGCTAACGGATATCTTGGATACACTTTTAAGTAAATGTGGCCGAAATTTCTTTGAATGGCCAAAGAAATAAGTGGCACGTTCAAGGCCATTGTGATATTGGGCCTTAGTGGTTTTACATAAATCCATCCGTTCAAAATGGAGTTGGTGGCGTGGATCGCTGGTAAAATTGGTTTTTCTCATTTGCGCCGTTGGTCTGCTGTTACTGGATGTAACTGGCTGCGCTACTGACTCGCGAACGGTTGTTCTTCAGTGGATGGTAGCGATTTTACTAATTGCTTAGGATGTTTTACCTCGATCTATACCCAAAGTGGTTTTATATTCCACCGGTCCTCCAGTGACGATGCTGTCCACATCTTGTGGTATCCTTTAAGGTAATGACTGTTACGATTTATTCGGTGCAGGGGTTTGCATTGTTACGTTACATGGTCAGTCATTTTACTCTTGAAGTGAGGGCCTGTAGGAGCTGAAAAGTTGGGGAAGTCGACTCACAGCAAAAGGTTGGCGGCTCCTCTTGCGTTTATGAAAGTTTCGGCCATTGGGATTTAAGGTAATCCAGAATGAGGCCTACTCTCGAATTAATTGCGCCGGTTGAACCAGTCGACCCAACTGAATGAACTACACGCCCAAGAAGCGAAAATCATATTTATCATAAAATTGTTGCGATGAGTTGGTTGTTTGTTTAATTCTTAGTGTTGGTAAAGGGGCCACTTATGTGCTCCGCAAAAGTACCAACTGCGGGTGGGATGGCCTTTTAGACCATGTATGTCGAACACCCAATATCTGTCAAAGTACCCCGTCTTCTTTGGTCTTCAGAGAAGTCTTCGGGTACTACAATGGTGACTGCAGAAAGCAAATCCTATTTTAACTGTCACCTTTCTTGTTTTCTACTGCTGGGTGATAGACCCTAGCTAGGTAGGGAGAAGTGCATACGCTGCGGATGGGAGACACGGTGACGACCCCTAACACAAGAGCTTAAAATGATGTCCACCTTGAACAACTAACCTAGTCTAATGGTTCGCGGAAAAGCTTTCAATAACTGAAGTGACGTTAATCGTGAACTATCGGAAAAAGTGTTACATGGTAGCCTACTGTTCCCGTATGAGATTATCAAATATGTTAACTCAAGACACCTCCTCCACTGCTTTACTGGCTGGATAGAACCCAAATAGATAAGACTGGGTAGCTCTGAATTGAAGGCAAAGTTGCAAGGAGGAAAAGACTTAAAACACTGTTCCCACGGAGCTATGTTGAACCCCATCTGGCCAATGCTCCTCACGACTGGCGATAGAATCGCATGATGGACAGCATATCCCCGTTAGGCAATACTGTTCCTATACAGGGCAGAACTTCAGATCCAGTAGAATTGGCAAAAGTAAGTCAGTGACATTGCGGTCAAGTATCTTCTCAGTTGCATGGAAAGTCGATGATTCACTACTGGTTAGTGACTACATTGTGATGGCTAACGTTGCAGGTTGATCGGGGACAGCGCCGGGGAGGACACTCAAAAGATGAGGGTCGTTTGTTTAACTAGGGGTTTTAGGGCGAATTTTCGCCAAAGTGCCTACTCAGGATGGCCTGGCCTCCGGGCCATGCTAGCAGATTCAAGGCCTACCGTACGTCTAATACACATATTCTACCCGAGTATTGTCTGTTTTATTATTCGGGAGAGTAACAGAGCGTCTCACTTATGTTCTTTACATGTGACATGCAGAGGGAAAAATAAAACATATCACCAAGCTTGGGCCAAGTCTTATTATCGGTGGCCGTATTTTCATGAAACTTCCGTAAAATTTGGTGATGCGTGAATTATTGGGCAAAGTAATCGGTGTAATATGTTCTTTCGAAGCAATAATTCCAGTTTATTGTGTTCCACAGTGAAGTTGTTTACTTGGTGGGTGGGCGAGTGTACCCATTCACTGATACTGCTTTTCTGAAATAAGAAATCATAGCTCTTATCACGTGGTAGATAACATCGTTTTCACCCAGACTCCACTCTGGCTGTCCATTTGCCGTTTGGTACTAGCTACCACTCTCCTTGCACTACTTTGGCGCTGATTAGAAAATCTCTAACAATGCCAATAATATTTCACAGCCAAAGTTCTTATTTGCAGAAAGTTCGTGTTGACCTTATTTGTCTCCTAGGTTTGATTTAGCCAATAGCACAATTCTTTAGTAATTTATTATTTCCTATTCTTTGATTCAAATTTCATCTTGATTATATTCTAGTTTAGGGGATAATTACGGTATACTGATGACTAACACCGGAATATTTTTTGACAAACTACTGGAGGGAGCTTACCGGAGAACCGTTCTGCTTAAAGGATTATTCACCGCTTTAATGTACTGCAGTTGTCCTCATTTGCGATTCCCGACCATCGCTTTTTTATTCTCTTTAGTAAAATGGTAAAATTTTGGCCGTCAACACTTTAGCAGGAAATATCCAGATCCCCAATTAGGGAGTGATGATCTGGTTGTTAGGGAAACAATTGTTTTACCGTTGGTCACATAACGTTTTGTTAGTCTTAGACCCTGTATATCATCCCGAAAGGACTGAGTAATTAAATAGATCAAGCATTTAACTTTACCAACCCAAATATTAAATTCCGACTTTCATTTTACAAGTCCAGATTACTTAAACACTCCATTTCTTCCCTAAATGTGGGAAATAATATTCCACAGCTTAGTGATATCCAATTACTTAAAAGTGAATAATGTTTACAGGTTCACTCTCAATTTCCTTTCGGGTAACTATCACGATAAGAGCACAGATTTCCTTTTACAATAAGACATCAATTATCTTTATTTTTTAGCACTCCAAGACTGCAATGGAGACGGGAGAAGACATGACACTTAGTTGAAATGTAAATTGTCGACAGTCTGAGTTGGTGCTCAGCTCACCCAGAGTAGGCACAATGGTGGAGCACCTAAGTGGTTCCTTCACGAAAACCGAGAGCTAAACGAACGGCCACTGTATTGCTTAGTCTCTCCTTCTTTGAATGTCGTCCTCGGCACTCTCCTCGGTCAACCTCCAACGTGAGCCATCACAGAATGATCAGTGCTGTGGGGGAACGTCCACTAACCAATCGTAACGGCCATCGAATTTCTATGCAACTAAGGGGACATTTGGCCGCAACGACACTGAACCCTCTTGCCCTTTCTACTGGATCTGAAGTTTCGCCCTGTATGAGAACAGTATTAGGTAATGGACTTATGCGCTATCCAACTTGCGCACCCATCGTTAGTAGTAGGAACAATGGTATATTTTCGGGAGGTAGGGTTTTGCCTCTATTCCACTTTGCCACTTTGCCTTCAATTCAGAGCTACCCAGTCTTATCTATTTGGGTTCTATCCAGCCAGTAAAGCAGTGGAGGAGGTGTCTTGAGTTAACATATTTGATAATCTCATACGGGAACAGTAGGCTACCATGTAACACTTTTTCCGATAGTTCACGATTAACGTCACTTCAGTTATTGAAAGCTTTTCCGCAAACCATTAGACTAGGTTAGTTGTTCAAGGTGGACATCATTTTAAGCTCTTGTGTTAGGGGTCGTCACCGTGTCTCCCATCCGCAGCGTATGCACTTCTCCCTACCTAGCTAGGGTCTATCACCCAGCAGTAGAAAACAAGAAAGGTGACAGTTAAAATAGGATTTGCTTTCTGCAGTCACCATTGTAGTACCCGAAGACTTCTCTGAAGACCAAAGAAGACGGAATACCTCGGCAGAATGTATTTTTTGACATAGAGTAGGCCTTAAGGCTGCTATCATAGCCCAGAAGCCATTCTGCCCACAGTAAGTACTTTTATTTTCCTTTTTTCCCTTCAATTGATATTGTCTTGGAGCACTTTAGTTACTCAACTCTCGGCTCTGATAAAGAAGTGACTTAGGTGCTCAGCTACTGCTCCTTCGCCTGGTATGCTGGTCTGCGGACCACGTCAGTAGCCCCAATCCTTTCTGTAAGTCAAATTCATATATTCTTCCCTGCTGTTTTATCTTTCTGTCTTCCGCGTAGTCTAAGTGCTCTGAAGTCTTCACTAAGGAAATTGCGGCATCACACATGTGCGACATATGCAGTGACTATCCTTTTTTAATGAGCAAATAACTTGTTACTATATCGGTTTACAAAAAAAGACTCAGACGGCCGAGCTGTTGAGTTATTAGGAAGCAACCAAGCTCACTTACTCCTTTTACAGTGTAGTCCAAGATGGAACTCCTCAACTTCTAATGACTGGCATAGCACTACGATTTTTCTATCGACAGCGAACAGCTTAAAACGCAGAAACTTGCCAGATGGGCTGAATAAGCTTATTCTTTACAAACTTTTAGTAAAAGCACTCTTATGACTCCTGAATACTTGGAAACTGCGACAATTCTACTTAATACTGTCTCAAGCGGCATTATTATTTAATAAGTAAGGATTTTTCATTTTTTAATGTTTTCTTAAGATTTAACTTAATACTTTGGGGTGGGATTAATAGGCTAGTTAAGGGTGTTCCCACTGCCTTGTGTGAGAACTCCATAGTGCTTCAAAATTAGTCCCACATGTCTTATCATACTTGGCGACTAGGTAGCTTTCGATTGTGAAAAGTTTAAGCCAAAAGTCAGCAAACTGAAACACCGTATTCTTTTTAGCATTTTAGTGCATTTCCTCATTCTGTTGCATGAGTCGTGGGGTAAAGGAATAGCATTCTTTTGCGAACTACAAATTCACTGCACTGTATGGTACAACTAGGGTAGACTTCGAGGCCGTGGAAATAAGGGGAAGAAATGCACAAATGATTGCATAAGAGAATTGTGGATTGTTTTTGCTTATGTAGTGTTTACAACATTGACATTGAGTGTGGCGCCCCGAGACTTCTCTGAAGACGGAGAAGACATGACACTTGGGCAGAACATAGACTTAACACACCACCAGACTAAAGGCTACTAGCATGGCCCAGAGGCCAGCTCATCCGCGATAGGTATAACATCGGAGCACCCAAGTGGCCCTTTTACCAAAACTTGGTGTCAGACAAACAACCAACTTATGACAGTTAAGAATCCCTAACCTTCCCCATAAGTGGTCTTATCGAAAGGTTCAGCATTAACAATCAGGTTTGACATTAAGTGGTTACGCAATGTCATGACGTTTTCTTATTAACCAATCAAGTTTCTCCACCTCTCACTAGAACTGCCGATATTCAAATAGGATGTTTAAAATGTTGTTTTGTGATTTCGAAAGTTCTCCAAAATCCAATTAAGTCCATATACATTTGTTTTTAAGCCAAATGGTTAAAATGCGGAATAGATAAAGGACTAGTAAATGCTGCGCTGAGAATGTTTCTATAAACCCTTAAGTCCAATAATAAAGGCATTATTCATCTGGATTAAGGAATAAGGCATGAATAAAGTGATCTCTGGGAGAGTTGGGTTTAGCTCCAGTCAAATGAGGACTCAAGCTTGGTAAGGAATGTTTACGCAACACCGATAAAGGTTGGAAGAATATCTCAAAGTGTCACGTAAGTACAAATAGCATAAATCGAGAGCGCGTATTATTATAATCGCTATTAACGTCACAAAATTTGAGTGACAAAGATGAGTGACTTTGCGCGTGTGCGTGTGCACTATATTCTAAGACTACGAATGCTGAATAGAGGTGGGGTAGCCATTTGCGTTAACAACGTAGGCAACCCGCGTTCACGCACACGCACAGAGGGCATCTATTTAGTCCATTCACCTAGCAACTGTCCCCGTACCAGTCTACAGTGCGGGTGATTATTGTAATACGTTGGTTATTCGTTTAACTCTCAGTGTTGCCAAAGGGGCCACTTAAGCGCTCCGACAATGTAAACAATGCAGGTGGATTGGCCTATGGGCCAGATCAGTAGCCCCAGGCTCTAATATATGGATAGCACATTCCACGACCCCTAATGCAGTTCCTGTATGGGGCAAAACACTAGATTCAGTAGAGCTGGCAAGAGGGGCAAATGGAGTTGCGGTCAAGTAGCTCTTTAGTTGCATGAAAATCTGATGACTGTAACGATTGGCTGGTTAGCGAATGTTTCCCTGCAGCATCAATTACGTTGTGTTGGCTGACGCGGGAGGTTGACCGAGGGGAGCACCTGGGACGATGCTCAAAAAAGGAGGCCATGCAATGCGTTGATTGTTCATCTGACTCTCAGCTTTATTAAGGAAATCACTTGGATGCTCCGCCATTGTGCCTACTTGGGGTAAACTGGCCTCTGGGCCAGATAAGGATTCCCAAATCCAACCTTACATGGAATACGTTCCGTTCAAATTATATGGTTTCTCTCGTCTTCAGGAAAGGCTTAGAGCGTCAAACCTACTCATACGGTCGATGCCACCAAAACAGTAATACATACACTTGATTCTTTAATAAAATTTCCCAATTTCAGGAACTAACTTACAGCATCCGAATTCTGACACTCTGAACTCCAAACCACTAATGGTAGATGCTGAATCAGCGACTTTCAAGCTTTTGCTTTTCGATATAAAAACAATAGAGATAAGTAGTCAGAACAAGACAATAAGAAAGGGAGGGAAAAAAAAGAAGAGGACGGCAAGGCATAGAAAAGAAGGAATGGCATCAAATAAGCATAGATGTGACGCGATTGATCAACCGAGCGCACCACATTAAGTCAGTAAATTACACGCGCAACAAGCACATGAAAGAGTGACAGAGGACGAGAGACAAAGAAGTCGCAATTAGAAGCGCTCCCCATCGGAGTTGGAGCCGGCAAGCGGAGAGTGTTCCTTCACCTCTTCGACATCACCAGACACTTCTCCGGAGGTTGCAGTCACCGGTTTGAGTCGAGGCAGACGTGAGGTGGCGATGGAGGCGGAGGCAGAGGGGGAGGTAGTGGGAGGAAGCGGAACACGAGCTTCAGTCGGTGATGTCACAGCCGGAAGCGCGAGCTATCCGACTCCAATCTCGACACTCGCTGGCTGATGATGCTGTTGGGAGAGCGTGTCGGTAGAGGCGAGGTTAGACATTTCACCTTTTTCTGATAATGAAGTTAAGTGGGCTAATCTAGAGATGCTCAAATATACTGGCAAATCATATCGAGGATTTCAAATTATTAAACGTCGGGACAAAAGTGCGACCCCCGCTCCTCGAAAGACGCTCTCTTGATCTTTTAATTGGCTCAAAAGGCTCCATTCGGCTCAAACGCTTTTGGAGTACCGGATGGCAGTGATCGCGTCCACTGTAACCAAATCGATGGTACGGATATTATGACGTCCTTCAAGACTACTGCTTTGATGCTGCTAGTGCCGGTCCAAATATACCGCAGCTAAGTCCATAGAGAAACTTTCAGTCGCGGCCCAAACACACCACTCCTCGGGTCATAGTGCGATAACAGAATGAAACACAATTCATTACCATACGAAAGCAACAAGACTTCGACTCACTAATTCTAAACTTCTCAAGATCTGAAACCAGTGACCAGACAAGGCACAAATAGCGAAGTGGACGCAGCTTACCGAAGCACCGCCATTCTTCAGAAGAGAAGTTCTATCAGCCATACTCAGGTCCCCAAAAGGGTGTCAACCCTCCAACTTTCATAAAACCAAGATCGCAACAATTGATTAGCTCCTGACAGATAAGTGCGTCACATACGCAAGTGCACGCCAAGTACTGGAAAACCTGGCATTGAAATATCGCAAAGCACGATGCGGACAGTTTGCACCGACCTGAGTGACTACACAAATGCAATTACCACGAAACTTCCCCCCCCCTTTTAGGTAATCCTGAAGGCAAAGTGCTCGAAGAATACGGAACATAGACAAAGCTTCATACCTTACGGGAGAAGGGAGAAGAGCGAAATGGAAAAAAGAGGAAAGCTTTGAGAAGACGAGAAAAAACCCACACAATTGGGGAGATTGATTTACAGGAGAGAGGAAAAAGAATGAGGGAGACACACGGGGATGGGGATAAGAGGAGTAGACAGACCAACCGTAAGCGCTTTTGTGGTCGTTGGTGTGCGTGCGCGCCTGTGTGCGAATGGGAGAGGCATGCACAAGAAATCAGCACCAACACGCACACGATAGCTACTTCTAACGTAGAGGAAAAAAAGGCATTCGCAGTAGAAAAAAGGTGAGAAAAGGGAAGTAGGGAAGAGAGGAGTCTGGAAGTCAGTAGGTTCAGGAGGAAGCAGCAATTTCTGCCTCCACGTCGGCTCTCCCCTCCTCCTTTCCCCTCTCATCGGATTCGGGCAAAGTCACCACTTCAGCAGCTTCGCCGTCGACCTTAACACCATCATCGTCACCAGCTTTTAACTTCTTCACTGATGTAGGGCTAGCCTCACTGGATAACTGTTTTTGCTTCTCCTCATACTGGTCTTGCTGCTGCCCCAAGTTATCAACCATCTGAGGCGATGTCGAAGGCATCGACAACTGCGGTGGTGGTGGCGGCGGCTGGACCGAATGCGGAATTTGCAAATAGCTGCTCAAAAGCGTTGCTGCAGCTGCTGCAGAATGGCCATCCACAAAAGCTTCTCCACTGGTGGGAGGTTGATATGCGGCAGCACCGGCGGCCATTGAGGCTGGCTGAAATCCTGCAGTTTGCCACTCGGAATAGAACTGCTGTGGCTGGCGAACTGCAGCAGAAACAGCTGCCAGAGTCAGAGATTGGAATTGATCGGCAGTGAGATCAATGGGATTCGGGTGAGCGTAGTGGTGCTGATGATGTCCAGCAACACCTGCAGACGCAACTGAATATGTGGGCTGAACCAAAGGCGGTTGTGTTGGTCGTGGAAACTGAGTGCCAGCAACTACTGCGTTGGACGGAGAGTACTGTAGTGGGTAAAACCAAAGCTCACTTTTCCACCCATCGACTTGATCGTGGCGTCAACCCCATCACTTACTTTACTCGAGGGGCGCAGCGTACTGCACCGCCTAGTAATTTTGCATCAATAATTGGTGCAAAAAAGTAGATGATACAAGCTGCAAGCCCAATGAATAACGACGTGATCTTTCCATGAATATTGGTTTCCGTATAGGACGGTGGTAATATAATATCGACTTACCTTTTCAGTAAGCGCCAAATTAGAGGCATGAAAAGTACACGATTTCCTGCTATACTACTATATTCGAACGACAAATTTCCAACCTAGATGAACAAAAGTTCTTGCTGATTTGGTCTCCACGTAAGCACTTTTAGATGATAAAATTGAGTAAGAGTGACAATGCCAAAAGGGCCTTTGGAGGAATCTTCCCACAAATAAAGCTGTGGAACCGGGAGTCAAAATTAGAAAAACCCCTTCAGTTATGCTCTCAGGTTTAATAGAAAGATTCACCTTAAAGTCTAAAGACCCAGCAAGGACAGAAGCCACAAAGTATGTCTTAACTCACCATTACGGGATTGCTGGAGACTGCAGCCGCAACAACAGCGGCAGCGGCCAAGTGAGCTGCGTACCGCGAGTCAATCGCTGCGATCGGTGAGTGGCCGTTCACGGGGGGAGGCTGTGGTAAAAGATGATGTTGCTGCTGGTGACCAGTGGGAGGGGATTGAGGTGCGGGCATCTCCAGGAGACCTGCGACGGAGGGCGTAGCGCCCGGAGTTGTGGTACTGACATTAGTTACAGCGGCGGCAACAGAAAGCGATGTCTCATGGACCTCGGTGGGGGGACGGGGTGGATTTGGATAGCAGGCAGTAGCCGAACCGTTAGCAGCTGCGTGAACATAGCCGCCAGCAGCTGCTGCAGCGGAGATCATGCCTGTACTGTCTGGTAGCATACCTGCTTGTATGAAGCATATGGTAAATTCCATGGAGCTCTCGTATGTCACCTTTCCTTAATAGGTACATTAGAGCCCGTCTCAACCTTCTGTTGAGGTAACCCAGGAGGTCTGTGATGTCTGTTGCCCATATGTCGCTGCTGATTAAACGGAATCGAAGCATCAGATCCCGAGTTAGGTATTAATACAATCCAACAGTCCAGATTCTCAAGGCGAATCACACCCAGTTTTATGTCTTTTGCTATTTAGTAGAATGAGAAATGAGGGTAACGCTCAAGATGACCACTGTACGTTCATAACACGCTCCCTTATGAGCTCCAATGTAAACCCACGGTTAAGTAACCGGGAAGCATTCATATAAAGCTTATGCAGATAAAAATTAATGGTGGCGAGTTCTGACTACAGTGAGAGTCAGCCCTTCATTATTGAGTTCCGGTATACTTCAATCACTTCATAGGAAATGTGCTCACATTAAACGGGAACATCCTGTCATATCATTGCCATTTAATGTGCAAGCATGCGAGCAATAAATCCGAGAATGTTCCTTAACTCCGAATTTATGAAAATGCTTTGCATTACAGCAATTTTCTTACAATCATTAAATTCAACGGAAAATCCTTAACTGGGAAAAGTGCAGCATCTACTCAGTACCAAAACTGTAAACCATATAAGCAGCTTTGGAACAGGAAATCGTTGAAAGTTTATAATTTTGGGACCTACATCAGGTATTTTTTACTGATGAAAGGTTATACTTCCCGCTGATTACTAAAAAAGGCACTTCAGCGGCACCAACTTACCAGATTGATAGATCAAACTAGGCTGAAGCTGTTGGCTAGGGGAGAGCGTAGACACAGCTGCTGCCATAGTCTGGTGCTGTTGTTGCTGATGATTCTGTAAATGCAGATCACCACAGACGAGCTGTTGTGGTGGGGGTTGGTAATGGCGTGGGATGTGAAACCTCCCTCGAGAAGGACCAGTGCAGGACGAGGAAGAGACACCGGCGGCAACACCAGTTGCTGCAGCAGCTGCGGCCGCTGCAGCGCGCCGCTTTGGATCCGCCTTGTCCGCTAACTTGCAGCTAATCGGTTTGGCGGAGCCGTTACCGTTCGGTGAGTCACCGTTCCCATTACCACCAGCCAAGACGTAACGCCTTTCATTCATGCTATCTACGGCCCGCTGCGCTTGCTCTGCTGAGGCGAACCTGACGAAACCTATGCCTTTAATAGAAAAAAGAACTGAGGTAAGACCGAAGTAGACCCCCTTCCGCTAAATTATGTAATGTGTACCCGTGTAAGCTCCATCGGTCTCCAGTAGTTTAACCGAGGTCACTTGCCCATAGGGTCGGAAGAGATTCAACAGAGTTTCCTTTGTGAAGCCCGTCTTGGGAAGATTTCGTACATAGACATTTAGAAGATCTTTTTCGTTCTCTAAAGCATACTTCACCACAAGCTGCCGGCCCCCGTTTTTTGACATCTCCACGAGATGATTAAGTGCTTTTACTGCGTCCTCCTCCGTTGCACAATCGATGAAACCAGACCCTGAAAACAAAGTTTTGAGGTAATCAGCTTAGAAATAAACGGTGACAACGAGGTCTCCAACTTAGGTCAAGTGTGGTACCGTAGAATCTAGGTGACTCCGGCCCACTTTGGCTACGATGGTAAATGACCTCGGCTCCCACTTGTCCTTCTCCAAGGCTTTCACAAGCACACAGCACACATGGACTAGTTTGGAAATCTTCAAACTTACGTTCTTATTTGTGGCACTATGAACGCAACCTTTCGATGAAACTCTTTCAAGAGAATTGAACAAAGGAGCGAGTTATACAAATTTTTACAGAAGAAAAATGCACCTTTACACTTTCCATTAAGAAGCATGGCTTTGCAGGACTTTGGGCATACGACATCTTCAACCAGAGCTCGAACGGTTTCATCAGTATCGGACTCAGAAAGTCCCGTTATGTACAAATTTGTTTTCGACGTTGTCATGGATTTATTCTTCTTGTGATTCTATAAGAAAAAATTGCACACCATCAAGCTTCGTGACGAGGACAGAATTCAAGCAAAATGGGTTCATAATGCTGAGCAACAAAAAATATGCTGTCAAAAGCAAGAATTTCGAACGCATGGTACGCAGAACTCCCATTCAGTAGGTGATATAGGAGCAGAAAAATTCAAACACAGACTATAACAATGCATTTACCGTGGACTGAGGAAGAGCACCAAAGTGCTTCAGGGAATCATAGTTGCGAAATTGAGTTGGCAAAAAGGGAACAGCGTGTTGTTGCGGGAGGGCAGGGGTGTGAGGGAAAGAGGGAGCTGTTGCAGCCCCGGGGAATGCCGCACCCAGCTGGATCCCATTCAAACGGGGAAAGTAGGGCAGTTGGGTTAGTTGATGCTGAGTTTGTGCTGGTGGTGGTGGTGGGGGCGCGGATTGAAAGGTTGTAGAAGAGAGTAGTGCAGTACCTCTGAAAGCTGCTGCTGCAGCGGCAGCATTTGCATGGGGAGACGTTTGAGAAATACAAAAGCTTGGAGTGTGACGAGACTGTACAGCACCTGACTGGGCTGCGAAAGCTGCCATGAGAGGGGAGCAGAGGAACGGGTAGCCTCCAGGAGCTGCGGGACAAAAACTGGTGGAGTTTTGGTTTGAATGAGCCTGATTTATTTGTACGTGCATAGGAGGAGCGGGATGACGAATTTGAGCGTTCGAAGGGAAAGCGTTGAAAATGGTGGTGTTTGGTATAACTTCACCCTGAGCAGAAATGTTAGTAGCCGGTGGGGCCACATTAGGTGCAGTCCACTGCGTTGGGTAGGACATGACTTGACCAAATGGTAGAAGATTAAGTCAAACAATACCCCTTTACGGGCAAAAATGACAGGAAACTATTCCTAAAGTAAAAAGAAACGCATCAAATACACATAGAAGCTAAGAACGTAGTCCAATAACCAATCAAAAGTGCATTGGTCATGAAAAAGTAAGAAAAAACCGAACTTAGATCAACAAAAACTCCGGGAGCGGGCATGTATCAGGCTGCACTGAAAGCAACACGTAGTTTCGGAAGCAAAGTATAGTGCAAATGCATAGACATGTTTAGGCATCAGTAAAAGTTCATTCGTTTCCAAACAACTCAAAACAGAAACACCAAAGTCACTAATAAGAAAGATGAAAAAGCAAGGAAAATCGAGTACACGACCAAATGCATAAGAAGACCCCAAACACTCATCGAGACACCAAGCCAGACCAACATGGCGACCCCGACCTCAAAAATTTTGGTCTATTAAAACAAAAATCAGCGATTCTTAAACTGCGCGACAAATACCATAGGCTTGCGGGCAAGTTTGCTAAAACAGAAAGAAAAATAGCTTTATTGTGCTCAGTTTTTTCAAAAGTACTCCTTTGGCAATAAAAAGGAAGGTAATGATTGCAAAACGGGCTCATAAACCATAGCTGTGAGTTCGTTGGTCTAACCTCATTGTAAAAACGAAAACAAACATGCTCAAAGAAGATAAAACGATAAACTTACTGAATGCATAATTTTACACACCAAATGCATCTTGCCTTACGGCATTTTCCTGCAACTTTTAAGGGAAATTTATAAATTTTGAACGACTCCCTAGGTTCCGTAATAATTATGAACTTGTTTCATATAGTTTTTATTGTTTATCCGCTACTTCGTCGTCCTACCTGCAATGAAGCTATGCATAAAAAATGATACGATATAGTGGAACTACGTAACCTTAATAGTAAATTTTATTGAACGGTATTTGAGCCTTAAATGCTAATCTGGACATGAGGTCCTAGAAACCTCAAGGTTGCAGTAAGTTCAACAAGAGATTATCAAAAGATGGAGTCTTGAAGAACGTGTTAGTTGTTATCCCATATTTCCGCAAATCCAAATGATTCAATTTGCGGTGCCATGGAAAATATTTTGCAGCGTCCCGAGACTCCCTGAAAGAGAAAGAAGACACCACACTCGGGCAGAATATATATATTCAGCACGGAAAAGGTGTCTGTGCTATTGGCATAGCCCAAAAGGCCATCCCACCCAGCGAGGTACAAGGGGGCTACTTCAAAGTACAAAAGTGGCGCCTCACCAGTACCGAGGGATAAACCACTATCATATTGCAATTTTGTGAATACAGACGGCTGTTCCGCTGATGAAGAAGAATAGAGCTCTTTCGTCGTTCAGCTTGGTAGCGTGCGTTTGTAGTAAAGAAAAGTGTCGTGTGCTTCAATGCGAGTCCTTTCTTGCATAGAGACGTGTTGGCCAGACAATATATTATTAAAGTTGCTGAGCGGGACACCAATAAATCTTTTTTATTAATATACGTCTCAAAGGGAAGTACAGATGTCTCATTCAATTCCCCAAAATCCAATCTTATTATTTTCAGGGTGCTTATATATCACGTTTTGGGTATTGTACCACATAAACTGTTTGCTTATGGGAATAAGTACATTGTTTAATTATAGGGTTTTGAGAATAAAGCGAATGTGATGCTCACCGAATCCGGTTTTAAAGCGGTAAATTCTATTCATTTTCACGGGACGATTTCTCTACTGCACATTTTGAATGTCTCATCAGATTAGGGTGTGTCTTTTTATTAAATTTTAATTTGCACTCATAATGTTGTTACTGCGACCCTATTCCAAATTTGCTAACAAAATTTCTGTAGTAGTTTTGTTGATGAATACGTTGCAGACCCCGAGTCCTTTCATGCATTTCTGGAGCAAATTTTGCGATAAATGTGCGAAAGAGGTGGCAGGCTGTTGATAAATGTAACACCAAGATATTACCCGGAATCACGAAGATCGGTGAGTTCATGCAGATAAGCGTGTGACTGAGATAACTATCGTCTTATTACGACGCATTATGCGTGACTAGATTATTATCTCAAACACCGCAGGAAACTTGATGTAAAGAGCTCTCCGCGGGTAGCGACTGTTCATCTGTGAATTGCAAGCGGACATCCAAATGATACCTACTGCTTAAAATCGTTGAAAAAAACTTAATTTGGCTATGTGATTCCCATTTATAATGCACAATGAAAAGTACAATTGTATTGGTAGTTATTTCTCAACAAACTTGTCAAATATGATCATGACCTCCCCACTTTTTCTGGACTAAAGTATCATCCAATGCTCTTGAGGGCCTTAGACCCCATTTTTAATTGGGAGGAGCTGTCAGAAAATCGATAAAGTCGGACCTGAGGGTTAACGGCGCCGAGTTGACTGACACATTAATTAGCGCTGCTTCAAGCAAGATTGTTGTGAAACCCCCTCTTTATGAGTGCCTTCTCGAACAGCTTGTCTTGCTTTGGGGTAAACACTTACCGCGTAAATTTAATTATGCGAACGTGCAGGAGTTACGTGAATCCCTTACTTCGAGCGGCGGAGCCTCCCCCACCATCGGATCGCGGTCGAACCGTGCAGTAGCTGCTCTTCGCTGAGACACTAACTTTTTGTTCTTCCTCTGTACTTTTTGGATTCGTTTGTACAGAGTCTCGCTTTGTAAAGTATCGTTAAGCTAAAAATCATTGGGTTTGTAAAATCATCCCATCAAAATGTCTGATTGAATGTTACAAGTAATCTTTCTAACAAATGCTACGATTGTTCTACTGATAGATCCCCAACCGAATTTTTCTCGAGGATAAATCGGCGCACTCCCCTCGGATTTTTTATTGCAATCAGCGCAAACCTTGAAGTTATTTATCAAGCAAGCAATTTTTTCATTATACATTGAGCTCTAAAAAACCAGTCTGAATACTGTTTTATGCTTAAATTTATCTTTTGAATCAATTTGCTGATCCAGTTTTGAGAATGGTGCTCATTTTTTTTTTCTTATGAAATAGCGTCGGCATATGAGGTGTAATCACCAAAATAAAAAATCCGGAAATAATGCTGGTAAATCACATCTTTAGTGACAAAGTGGATTGCTTGTGCCAAAATCCTATTGTGGCGAAAACAATCTTTTGTCCCGTTGGCGACTTCATGCAGAAATGGAACAACGAGGGGTGCCAAAGGTTTTGTTGGGGTCAAAACAAGATTCATCGGGGGCCGGTGGATGTTTTGACTGTCTTCTGAGATGCAGTAACACATTAATCCGTGGACTTCTGTGTCACCAAGGTAGACTTTAACACCTACCGCGTTTGATTATCCTTCAAAATACTCAATTATGATGATTATAAGACATCAGATTTTAACGTAGTGGCTCCAACTTTACTTAAACTTGAAGACCATTTAGTCCAAACTAAGGTTTGTATTCCATTCCCACTCACCAACTGAGACTCAACTGCGGTAGTATTATGTAGTGGTTAGTAAGAGTGCCCTATCACTTGCAGTCTACACACACCTTGGCCAGTCCAGATACCGTTAATCGAGATTCCAGTCAACACTGGTAATTCCCCAGCACAACGTCATGTGATGATGAATACAGTCCCATACTAAGAGGTAGAACATAACAATATCTACCAAGATTTCAAGCACACCAATGGGACATTCTAACTGAATTTTTCGAGGACGTTCATGCGGCAGTGAAGATCCCGGTCACTGTGGTTCCAGCACGCCGTTTCAGCATGTTCAACGAACGTGAAAAAACAATCCGTAGTCCCTCTTAAAATTGCACAAGGGACAAACTTTTCTGTGGTAAAGATGAGTACAATTATCAATCTCCAGGAAAACATCCTCACACGCATTTACACCTGGTCTTTTGCTTTTCGATATAAAAACAATAGAGATAAGTAGTCAGAACAAGACAATAAGAAAGGGAGGGGAAAAAAAGAAGAGGACGGCAAGGCATAGAAAAGAAGGAATGACATCAAATAAGCATAGATGTGACGCGATTGATCAACCGAGCGCACCACATTAAGTCAGTAAATTACACGCGCAACAAGCACATGAAAGAGTGACAGAGGACGAGAGACAAAGAAGTCGCAATTAGAAGCGCTCCCCATCGGAGTTGGAGCCGGCAAGCGGAGAGTGTTCCTTCACCTCTTCGACATCACCAGACACTTCTCCGGAGGTTGCAGTCACCGGTTTGAGTCGAGGCAGACGTGAGGTGGCGATGGAGGCGGAGGCAGAGGGGGAGGTAGTGGGAGGAGGCGGAACACGAGCATCAGTCGGTGATGTCACAGCCGATAAGGGAGGTCGGAAACGCGAGCTATCCGACTCCAACATCGACACTTTCACTAGCTGCTGATGTTGTTGGGGGGTCAAAATGCCGGTGGCGGCGGAAACACTGGCGATGGCGGAAGAGTTGGATTCGCCGGGAGAGGAAAGGTCAGTGGCCTCGCAGAGGTCGCGTTTCAGTTCGGTGAGGGTAACTACGAGGTTGGCGAAGGTGGGACGTCGGTTTGGGTTCTGGTGCCAGCAGGACTGCATCTGCTTGCCCAGTTGGCGTGGCATTCGATCCGGTGTGGTCAGACGGTATCCTACAAGCGGATAAAATATCAATCCCCAGCCATACTTATTTCTTTGTCTCCGGTAAACAGATATAGGTCCTAGAACTTTGCGAGGAATTTCACAGAGAGATGAATTATTCTTAATGACTAATTAGTTTTAGGCAAAAAACTATGGTAGGGATAACAATAAGATGATTTTTTTGGTATGTAGTGAACGAGGGTACGAAAAATAGGGCGCTTAAAATGGAAAGCTGAAGTATAAATACAGCGATTTTACACACATTTGAAAATTCAGCTGGAAATTTCACACCAAAAGAATAATTTCCCCCGAAATAACTTTCAGCAAGCAACAGAACATAAGATTATTCGTAATGGGAGGGCTTTACTACTCACGTGGAGTACTTAAAATTGTGAATTTAGAGGCAGAGTCGTTAGCCCCTACAATGTAGTTAGTCTAGAAAACGCCCGTGGAAGATAGCTTTCAACGGACAGCAAAAGCCACCGCGCCTTTGAGTTGTCAAATTAAGTTGACTTGATGTGATGACTTCAGATAGGTGCAAAATCTTTTGTCGGATAATTCCCATATGATTAGGAGATAATCACGATTAAGCAATTCTTCGGCACGCATATGACAGAGGTACAAAAATAGGACGCCCAAAATGAACTCGAAACACTACATTCAGAAGTGCGGTTATTGTTTCGCCATGCGCGTAGTCAAGACCTTGAGCTTAGACAACGACGTATTATGCCTGAGAAAAGAATTGTGAGAAATTAAAAAGTACCAAAATGCAATTTAGAATTGAATGACAGCAATTTCAAGTCAACTTTGGATTAAAATTCCCAAAATCGCTGTCTGAGGCATTTACCAGGTAAAACTGCTAGTCCAAACACCCCAAGAGTAGCGGTAGCTTATCTATCTGACGTGTCTACACATCCTACTATCTAGAAGGCGAAAACAGGCTATCATGTGCTAGCATGGTAATGTTGCAAAGCCGGTAAAGTGTACGGCACAAAGCGAATGCAAAGAACGGAGTCAGGAAAAAAGGGAGAAACCAGATGTAAAATGACTGCGATCTGAACCCCAAATTGTACCGTTCTTCAATTACGAGAAGACACCCGATGCATGTACGTTATAGTAAAAAATCCAACAGAGGGTGATCTGCTTCAGTTTGTCACGACAATTCATAAAAAAATTCGGCAGGGAGAAGGGCTCGGGGCAAGGATTGCATTGATTTAAGTCACTAAAAATAATTCTAACTACTCAAGTGGAAAAAATATACATTACAATAAACCCATAATATGATATTTCTATCGAGAGTCAACCACTTTTTGAGTCCACTGGAGGCATTACACGACCTTTATAAGGGGAAATAGATTCTACAAGGTCCTATTCTAAAGTATTTATAAGAATTATTCAGTGAAAACTATCAGGAGAGAACAGCATTACATGCCAAATAGCGACTGCGGCGTTTCAAAGATGAATCAGTGCCCTCAAATTATATTGACATCGGCATGTATGGAACTTTTGGACCTGCAATCCCATATGGCTCTTCTGGATTTTACGTCTTGATCAGCGTTTTAGGCTAATGATACTACAAAAATAAATTGTATTAAAAGTATTTTAAAGGCTTCTTTCAATATACACCCTTGTGCATGCAATGAAAGTTAGTTGAGGCATTCCTTCGTCTCGAATTAAAATCGAATCTGACACCCGGCAGGCTTCGAGTAAAGGGTGGATCAACTCCATTATTATGCAACTTATTGCAGAATGATTTATTAACGATGCACAGGTTTTCTAGGTGTTCTCTTGATGAGTCCTCAGTAACCTTGTCCATGATAAAGCGATTATCAGAATATCACAGTACTAACGCGAAGTAACCTATCTAAACTGCACAAGTTAGGATTGGTTTTGTGCATTACGATCGCTTACTAAAATTTAGTAGTTTTTGATGATGAGGTATTCGGCATAAGGTAAAATAAGTTGAAGTAAATCCTGTATAAGTCTTTCAGATTCCTTACTTGCAGAGTCGAGTGAATATGGCACGTATTTCATGGCAATGTTTATAAATAATGAACGATGAGTTGAAGCATATCACAATCAGTAGAGGTTAACATGTAGTGCCTTAAATAACACGAAGGGTGTTCTATAACTACTGTACGGATATAAGGAGAGTACAATGGTTCTAATCTGCAAGCCCTCTTTGTGAGTTCCAAATTATTCGTTAAAGCAGTATTTTCAAAAGTTCCGGAGTTGTTGAACGGGCTGAGCACGGAGAGGAAGAGTGCAATTATGCCCTGGCAAATCATCGACAAATCTTGAACTAGAAGCTCTTAATGAAGGGCAAAACTAAGCAAAAAACCACAGACTCAGAAACTCCGCTAATTCTTATCCTTCTTAGCTACCGTTATCGTGCTACAGCAAAATACACATCAAACATGCTCAATCAAAGGAAAACTTAGGTTATTTTGTCATAAAATCCTGATAATAGAAAGGAAACCTGATCTCAAACAAGTGATATTGGTGATAAGTAGCCAAGATCTATCACTTGGAAAGAATACATCTGGGTGAAAAACACGGAGGACACATGTAAGAAAAAAAGCAATAAATTCAAAAAAACGAGAATGTCGGCCATGTTAAGAGCAAAGAGGAGAGTGGACAATTAGGCAATACCTGACCGCAGCCATCAGTGATGAGTTAATGAACCACTGGCCAAATGAACAGAAAAACACTATTTTGATGATTAACACAAGAACAGGAGAATTATTGGGAAGAAAGCAGCCACCATTGGATTATTAACGGGACCAATAAGTAATGAATACGAATTACACCCGCAAACAATAACATCGGTTGAATAGCTAATGATTCAACACCAGCTGAGTAAGTGACGCATACAAGAAGCTCTAGTCTAACAGGCAATTTTGATCGTGATCAAAAAGTGAGCCAAAAGCAGGTGTAGTGAAAGCAACGCACACGTCTCAAATTACACGTGCGCGTTAGAAACAAAACTCGACGGTAGAAATGAGAAATCGAATGTTTAGCTACGCATACAGTTCCCCCACCACGGCACTTATTCAAAGACCAAAAAGGGAAATTTGGGTAAGGAATCAGACACACGACAAGCGACGAGCCAATGTGGCCAACCGAACGCTGAAAGGGGCCTTTCATTCTAGCATTCCAAATTAAAAATTGAAACCGTAGATAAGGGAACACCCAGTCCTAATACTAGGTATAAGTTCCGTTGTGTCCAGCGCCGGCCAGCTCAAAAAACAACTAATCAAGCGTTTCTCCAATAGCTTGGGGGGAAATTTAGTCCCTGTTCTACTTATTTGTACAGAATTGAAGCAATCAAACTTTAATTCAAGGGCAGATATAGCACCTAGGTGAAAGCTATAAAGGCTTTAAAAAGGTAAAATTACTTTTCCTCTTAAGAGTAAGAGACTATTGGAAATTGTATTTCACCGAGAACCCAACACCGATAATACCCACCATTTTCCACAAGATCACGAGTCTCGTTGTTTGTGAGTCCATGGTAGGGCGTGTCACCGGCACTGAAAATCTCCCACAGCAGAATGCCAAACGACCAGACATCACACTTGCTCGTATAACGATTGGAGTAGAGTGCCTCCGGTGCTGTCCACTTAATCGGAATCGGACCATTGCGATCGCTCAGCTACAGGAAGAAGGCAGGGAACAAGAAAATGTGAGGGCAAGAGACATTGAAATCACCATTGTTTTCAATTCGTCCAATAAACGTCATTATCGGCAGCAAAAAAGAAAATGCAGGACGCTCATAGGCAGATGTGCCAACCACTAATGGATAAATGAATGAATGTTAGGGTAGCAATCAAGTGAGAAGGACGTTAGAATGACTGAGGAGCGATAAAATACGATTTCGCTACGTTCTATTGGAAGGGAAGGGGGAGAGGTTAAATAAGAGGTGGATTACCTTCTTGCTCTTTTTGTGGCGCTTCCTCTCCCCCTCTTCCGCTGATTGCCCGGGCTAAGGATGGGCGGGAGGGCAGATGATTAGAACAGTTTCACCGAGTGCCATCAATAACGAAACCAATGCTGTTTTGTATGCTTCTTGCGAGTTATTCAGCCTAGCTAATAATTCACCCATTACTATTATTATTAATTCACCTACACATAGAATTCCAGAGATTTAACCGGAAGACGTGGGGGAAAAGTCAAATTTGTGTGTATGCATCAATGCTCATCATTAGAAAATCATGATAAATTTTCAAGCCAATTTTCTACTGAAAGTTAATGGTCGTCTTAGGATTTTCCATGACTGACAGAATAGGGCATTCAATACAACGTCTGCTCAAAATATGTGAATGATCACAAGGAACTTTTTGGGATTGTCTGAAAGTTGCTGCTGCGCATGAAGGGCAAAACTTAAGCCTCAATCGGGTTTGCACATTCGGAAGCTCCTTTTGGAGAGCTTATAACTTTTGTTATCAAAAAATTGATGAAAAACAGCCTGATTTCGGAACACCACATCTTGTTACGTCGTTATGACATTACTCAAATAAACATAATGACGTTTTCAACGTTGTATTACTCCAGATGCACATACATTAATAAATAACTTGAATAGATAACACCATAATACCGAATCTAATGAATTAGAAAATGCCAGTTGTCATGCAAAGCGGGAAAAGCAAATTCAATTTCGTTTCTGGAGGAAGGAATGAAGAGGAGCAAGTCACAGGCCTACGTTCACGGCAAGGCTGTGCAGATAGGAAGTAAATAAATTAAGTTTTTTTTCACATAGACTGTGCCTTAAGTGGAGACAAATGCGCATAAAATACGGCGTGTCATCATAAAACTTTAATTGACAGAAGTTCCAGCTTCGATACACCTCCGTCATCTACAGTTCAAAATGCCGTGGAAGGCTTGAAACGACCATCTATTGCAATCAATGTAATGGGATGTTCGAGCACTTACTCCAATCGGTTAGTTCTACATTAAAAACAGGAATGTATGGAATGTTAGACAAAAAACACGTAAAATGTTATACAACTCTAACGGAATCAACAAGATCTCATCAGGCTAAGGAAGTCAGCTACGTAACTCAAGGGAATGATAATTCTGCCCTTACCAAGCGCAACGGATTGAGGTAAATGAAATCGAGTGGGCAACCAACCTCATAAACGTGTTCTTCACGAGCCATTCCAAAATCGGCGATCTTCAGCACCAGGTCCTCTGTTAAAAGACAGTTTCGAGCTGCCAGATCACTAAAAGCAAAGGGGATATCACAAGAGCTTAATTATTGCCTTTTGAACAACCAAGGACTGGTTGCAATGACCCACATTTATGGTCATTAATGCATCAAGTAAAAGAGATCACGCCACAATAAAACTTGCACAAAAAAAGGCAATAAATTTTGTAGGAAGAGCATAAAATTCCACTATGCAAATAAGTAAAGTCTTGAGCGATGAAAATCATCCACTAGAGCTAAGAAGAGGCTCCAGCAAAGGGCTAAACATTACGGAAAAAAGCTATCAAAACGCAACTATGAGAGGGGGAGGATTGCCTTGTCCCTTAAAATTTAAATATAGGGCTGATGTGAACCAAGCAATCAGTACATTTGGCACCAGGATTTTTCTAAAAGCCTTTGGATAATAAGTAGTGTAAAAACCATTGGAAAAAACCGCTTTCCCCCGACACCCAATAGCACTGTTCAAGACGAAGGGATACAAAGAATGTTACTGAAATCATGTTACATTTTAATACAAGATACTTCGGGTAAAAAGCGTTATTCTTTCTTCCTTTTATACTAATATAAAGATGAGTCTATATATCCACAGACCAAGTTAATGTACCATTGAACATAAGGCAACAACTACTGAATCTTTTGCTTCAGATAGCAGGAGAGCAAGAGGGAACCCTCTGAATAAAGCATTATTTGATAAGGGGATGCGCCGCTACAGCTATATCTCCGGGGAATATGCTAAGATAATGAATGATATCCGGAGTGAATTTGCCAAGAAATGAGAGTGATACCCTACCGAGTTTGTCGCTTTAGATAAATGCATGGGAGTAGTAATGATAAGGTTAATATACTACTGAAATGAGGGACGAATTACCGGTGGATGCAGTTTTTGGACTCTAGGTAGGCCATTCCATTGGCTGCGTCGACACACATCCTCAAGAGGAGACGAATGTCTGCATTTTGACCGTTCCTCCGTAGGAAGGATAACAGAGATCCGCCTAAGTTATTAAAAAAACCACAGTCACGGATTATCACATTCCAGCTACATCAGAATTCATGAATCAGACGAAGTGCTGAATAGAGAATAAAAGTGTCATCCACAGGGCTTTCAGATAAGAAAAAAGAACTTAATGCACTAGCCGACCCTAGCAAAAGTAGCAAAAATCAAAAGCAACTTCGATCAACTGCTAGGAATTTCAGTAGGAGAGGTTTTTCTAATCGCTTTCATTTATAGTCACAATTTTAATCCAAATTCCACAGGTCTGATAATGACTTATTTCATCGAATCAAAGAGTTAGCGAAAAACAACAACAGCCATCTCCTGGCACATAACAACCCGTTTTATGTTCTTAGACGTAGTACTTTAAAGTTGCGAGCAATTCACGAGTAACAATAAAGCCTAGTATAAACGACATTAATGTGATTAGTAGTGACATAAGAAGATACACGTCATCACTTGCTGTACCTCCCCGCATGGATGCTGCTTGCTTGCCCCTAAAAGCAGGCAATTTGACGTCAGTTTTATCATACTGGTAGATCAAGAGCAGTAAACATCTGGGATTTGTTATTAGATCCTAGTATTGTGCAAAGCATATGGATTCATTAAAATAAAGAATTCCGGATATTTTTGGGCACTAGTTAAAGACAATTAACATCCACTTCGCCTCTTCCCCTAACTGACTGCAACTCCGAATCCCCCTTTTTAAAGAGATATTTTGAAGCCAAAATTGGGTCAAAACCATGGTGGTTAAGAGTATTCGTTTGATTTTGTCATGGAACCAATGCTATAAATCAAGACAATAATGTTACTAGTGGACGCCCATCACGCCATTGTGCTACGTAGGAGGCCTGGGATGGGAGTAACCATGGCAGTAGCAGGCAAGATCGGTGCGACTGGAGCAAAAAGGCGAGTAATATGGGTGGATGGAGGTCCCATAGCATATACCCACCATTAAAATGAAAATCAAGCCTCTAATTAATTGCAACTTGGTTAAAACATATACCAGTGAAAAACCAGAAGTAAATCAGGCATTTCATAATTAATGGTCCAACCATAACGTTTCTCTTGACGAGCTTGTGCACATTTCGCGATCTCTAACTCTCGAAATGGAAGGAAGCACGAACCACAGACTAAACCACCAGGCTATTAAAAGGTTGTTCAAAGACACGAGAGTTGAAGAGAATTGGATAATGCACGAGCGGAGGTGCTAGAGGGAGTGGAGACACGCAAATTGAATAAAGACAAATACCGTGAGAGCATGAGCATGCGGAGTAGGCAGTGAATAAGCCAGAAAGTGGTGGTGGCTTTTGCCGAACTAGCCTATCTAGCAACACATTCACATTCTTGCTGCCTACAGGTGAGATCAGGGGAGAGTTAAGGAGAAGGGCAATAAGTAAATCAAACTACAGCAAAATTCACAATCAGCGGCTGTGGTGTACTGTGAAGGTAGGCTGTGGAGTTTCGTGCAACCGCCTCAGCCTATTTGGAATATACTGAAAGGCAATGAGTGCCTCGTCTCGTTGTACATTTTTACGTAAAAGCCGAACTAAATGATCACTATCCTTAACACAAAAAATATTTGGACAAGGTTCTGTTTATGCTCATTAAGTTTTCAAGCTAGGTCTCGTGAAAATTGACTACCACACCCAGCAAGACATTTCATTTAAAGATAGGATGATTAAAAATATATTACTTTGGCGCTCCAAATACAAGAAAAAAGTAGGAACAAAATAACAAGCACCGTTTATCTAGTGCCGGCTGAAAGTGAAGTAAGAAATAAAATTTGCTTCATGACAAACAAAATCTATCATTAAGTACCGACACAAAGAAAATAATTACAATACCCTGCCTACACTTCAGAAAACATCTTTGAAAGTAAAGTCGTATTGAAGAACTACAGATAAAAGGAGAATATCAGAGGGAGGTCATGAGCTACCAACGGGCCACATCCACTTTGTCTGAATACTTAGGTCCAAATATACGCAAATTAGAAAACTACGACAAGATTCTTTTCAGTATCAGCATAAGGAATGGGTTAGTTTGAGAAATAATTGCCTTGAGCTTTTGAGATAATACTTGTTATAAACTGTCCACCGGCTAAGAAAAAAGGCAGGAGCGGGAATACAAAAAAAAAACATACTGAACAAGTAACCCGTCATCCCATTTGGATTAACAAACTTAATGTTGCATAGTTCAAAATACTTTAATTCTAAGACCAAATTCTCTTAACCAATAAACCTCAGATTCCTCGGGAAAAACCTTCAGTGGAGACACGTTGCACTTCATAGTAAAACGACTCGCTTTCAAAAGCACAGTAGTTCAGTACATAGTGAGGACATGATATGGTGGAAGAAGTTTAACCACACCAGCTCTTCAGCCTCAATGGGCTTAGGAAACTACCACATTATCATGGGGTTTTGTTACCTACTGCCTATGTCAATAGTCTCCTAGACTGTAAATTTATAAATAGACCTGTATCCATACTCATACACCCCACAACGCCTTTGAGGATGACTCAGGAGCTGGAGATTAATGCATCAACTTACCGGCGACATACTCCATGACAATCATGATGGGATGGGAGCGAACAGCAATGCCTAGCAAACGCACCACGTTGGGGTGGAAGAAATTGAGAGCAGTGGCCTCGCCTTGGAGAAACTTGCGTCTGATTTCCACCTCCGCTGGGCCTGCTCGACATGTCTTCACTGCCACCTCGCGCCCGTTGTAAATGCCACGATGCACCTCGCCGAAGTTGCCCTACAAGCAAGAGTTAAGGCTTCGTGAAGAGACAGCAAAAATAAATTAGTAATGTAATCAATTTGTTGTAGAGTATCATTTTTGCACAAACCAGGCGATCCAGTAATTACGCCTGTAGCGCCACGGTTTTCTTGCACAATGTGATTCCTAGAATACTCTGACGACACCCAGCTATTCCTAAAAAAACCCAGTATTTCAACTGCATGCTAATAATAAACTTTCTTCCGTTTCAGTATGCCTTATCACTTTATTAGGGATGACTCGGAGCTCTCTACTAGCTGCTGCAAAAACCAGCTTGAAATCTTTTGCAATGAAGTGCAAGAGGATGCCCTTTGCGATAAGCACATACAACAATACGCGGTGGTTTTGTTTATTAAAGTCCAATTCCCTCGAACAGTGTTTGACTCCGATCAGCCATTCTATGTCGTCATGATATCACGGGCATGTTCAGTCTTTTGGGGTTCCACGCTCATTTAAAGACAGCTCAAGGCACGGATTTTGATATCGTTCGAAATCCATGAAAACGTATTGAGTCTCAAAAACAGACGAGGTGAAATGCTTATGTAGGAGAAACGATAATTTAAATCGTTAGTTTTTTTCTAACCAAACGCTTAAGAGGATTCTCTAAAGGCAAAATTAGCGATTAATCCACAAAAACTCTCACTAGAGCACTCACGCATAAGACTGAAACGAACCACAAAATGTCTGCGCAGGCACCGAGAGTCTTCCTCTGATTAAAACTAATTTATGAAAAGACAAAATTCACCATATTTCACGTTTAATCAGATAGCGACAAACTACACCACCATGACACCTTTTTAAAAGCGCCAAATTTTTGAAGCAAACACTAAAAAGTGAAATACAAGTGCCTGATTTCTTTCAAAACTGAGGTCCAAACTATTATCTGGCTCTACAAAAAACCTGTCGAAAATTGAGAGCATCAAAAGGCCAAGAAGGCAAGATTAGGAAACCGGTTTTAAACAACCGTAAGCGCGATCAGATAGGATTTTGGAGCTAGACTAAGCAAACAAGTTATCAAGTGATCGCCACATCATTATTCTCATTTAAGGATAGCTTTCCCAAACCCGTTAAGGCGATGCGGTCGGCAACCCAGTATTTTAACTACACTATCTTATCAAAAATTTAAGGAGGGGAACGGGAACTGTTCATTTAAGTAGCAGCACAACGAAGTAGTTAGTGTTTCCCAGGCCATTGCTTTTCCACAATGCAATTATCTCCTTTTTGGGTTTTCACGGTCCTGTGATCCCTCGGTACCTTCTCAAAACACCCAAACTTCCAAAAAAAGAGAAAATCCTTTTGAGTATCAAGAGTAAAGAGATTAACAGAAAAAAATAGGATTTAATAAATCGTTGCCTTCGCCGGCAAAAATCCATACATTAAAGATTTATTTGAACGTTTTTAAGATCGGGTATTTTCGAAGATGAAATAAACTTCATCAAATAAAGCCCAATTTTCATGTATTATTAAGTTACATCTTGTGTATTTCAAACACTCCAAAAAAAGCAGTGTAGGAAGACGACACAACTTGGTTACTTGCATGAGGTAGCTCACCTGTCCGATCTTTTCGAGCAAAATGACATCTTTGTTGTCCAATTGCCAGTCTGGTCGCGAGATGGGGTTAAGGAGAATTGCACCAGAAGACTGGGTAACCGGCTTACCTGTTCGCATATGGTACTCAATGAGGTCCCTGAGGTAAATGGGAAAGAGAGGAGTCATGCAGTAGCAACATTTCAGTACCGGCTCACTTCTGGAACTGAGCTGCATGAAAGGTAGCTATTTACTAGCAGCAAATTTATTTCATCCCCACCACCTCAATGTTTTATTCACTGCCATTGCATGAGGATTTCGTCTCAAACCCCTAGGCAGAAATAGAGCTTGTAAAAGCCGGATGTGAAAATTAGTCTCAAATTCCCCATATTTTAAAAAACTTCGTCGATTTGAACAAGTATTTCCCTCGGACAGCAGACGACAAAGGTTGACCAGACAGATATTTTTAACTAAACTGTCTGGAAAGTTATATATTCCCAATCCAAAGAAATTCTGACCTCGCCCTAAGGTCTACACGAAATCAAAAGCCACTACCTGTTTTAATTTGTCAAGCTATTTGACCCACCCGCATTAAATATTTTACAGAAAAACCTAGTTAGGCTACAAAAACCCACTGAAAACTTTTTGAAACAATTTTCATCCAAAGGAATAAACTCAAAGAGATGGGATCAGCGTGTAGCAGTAAATGTTATTTTGTATAAACCGATGTTATTAAAACTAGCAGAAGAGTCAGCGGCACCCTTGACAATCTGAAGAAGATCGGGAAATGGCTTCAACTACAGTATTATCGAATCTGAGATGGTTTACGACCTCAACCCATCCCAACAATTTACGTCCTGGAAGTGCTTATAAAAACGATTCATATGCGGGTAAATAGACGTAGGGCCGAATACACTCAAGCGTGAAGGACGAGGTTATATCTTGGCTTTGTCACATTGTCACAACACTGCACAGAAGTTACCATAAAACCGATTAAGTCAGTAGGGGAACCTAGGCAGCTTATTTAATGCTCCACTAAAGAGAAGGGAAGTGGATTCAATGAACTTGTAGTCGAATACAAATAATAGAAATCCAACTGTATTTATGTCAATTACAACCTAAGGTGACGTTCGGGATGATTCATCAGCCCTACCGATCAACAACGACTACATCGTGTTCAAAAACCAGTTGAAAACAAACAGCTAGAAAATGGGTTTAATAAAGTCAACATAGAATGGAAATCAAGCAATTTCAATCTCAAGCAATTTATACAGAATGCATTCAAAGAACAAACGGATGTATCTTCAACTTCCGTCATTCACTAAAACCCCGTGAATTCAGTCAAAATTCCATTTGACAACTTACCTAAGAGTGGGAAATTCATAATCCTCAAATGACCATCCTCCGCGTCGGTTTCCAAGATCGCTAGCGCCTTCCACAGCCTCATCACCACCCTGAATGATGAAGTGTTTGTGACCGTTCCAGTAGACAGAGAGGACCATTTTAGTGACCACCACCTTGCCTCCGCTACCACTGCCGCTGCTTCGATCGCCGCGCAGGTCTTCCGTGGATTGGGAGCCGAGCAGCGTTACGGTGGAGGAGGAGGAGGCACCGACAGAAGCGGCACCAGTGGCAGAGGACCAGAGATTGGTGAGCGAAGGCCCCTCACTCCCACGCTGCCGGTGGTGCTGCGTACGGTTACGACGTGCCAGGTAGGAGGTGGAGGCTGCTTTGCTTGTCTCACGGACCAAAAAGTCGCCCTGATTTTGCAAAAGCCTGGTGGTGGGGAAAGAAGCGCTGTCGAGCACGTACTCTTCAGTTTTGACTTAGAATAAGTGTGCTTGATTTTACAACTGATAACTAGTCAATGATACAAAAAAAACTTCGATTGGTCAGATGAACATCCTTGCTTAGCTTTAAAGTGTACTTAGTGCCCATAAGGCGTGAAACCGTTCCTTCAGCGTAAGTTGTATTTGAATGAACGGAATAGTTCAATCGACACATAGTCATTCTAATGTTGTTAAGACGATAGACTTATTCTAATCAGTCAGCCATGCTAGGAGTAAATGGGCTAGCAAACGTTGAAATAAGCGCTGAATTCAGACAGGTAGTATAGGTGTCGTAAACTAGATCTCTTTTTGGCATTCAGTTATAAATTAATATGACTTGTAACTCTATCACAGTACATTCTCACAAGGAAAAAAACCAAAGATTTCCCTGAAGTGTCCCCTGACTAATAAAACAAGGTCGGGAAAATGTACGACTTTGTAAAAAGTTAAAAACCTCCATCAAAGTTACACAACCAACAATAATGCAGTAATATGGATTATGCGCATGGAGAGAAGTGCCTCGTGAACAGCGGTAAAAACGAGAGTGAGCCAACCGTTATAGCGCAATTTTTAAATCTGTAAAGTTCATCTTTTGTTGTCAGCTTAAACTTAAACGTACGAAAATGGTATTTATCACATTCTCTAAATCATATCTATGTAGAAAGGCCAGTACTATATTGGGCCATTCGGAGATCGCCAGATCAAGAACCCTATATTTGGGAAGTTGACTGAAACGAGTTGTGCTTTAACCTCCATAAGATTGGGGAAAAATTGTCAACTGGTGATTTTTTTGCAAAAAGGTGCCAATAAAAACTGTCAGAAACTAAAAAAAAAGCGATTGACAAAAGAATCCAACTCAACACCGCAATAGAAAATTTCTCAAAGGGGAAAGCTTCTTACAAAAATCCATACAATGACCTGAACTACAAGGCCCCTCACCAAGGTAGTAGTAAGCAAATATTGCTAAAAAATGCAAGTTGAAAATTTTTCATACACGGAAATTTTCGTGGAAAATATATCACCATGTATGCTTGAAACCGCTTCAATGGAAGTGAGTAATTTAACTTGATGAATTTAAAGGCATTCAAATCAAAGTAAAAAACATCAAAACTACTGGCCTAATCAACTTTTTCTCTGAAATAGGACGGTAGGAGATCCATAAACAGTGAACTATAAGGTTAGGAAAAAGTAATTTTGCTGAACTCCCGGAAGGGTGGAAGGAGCATCAAGAAAGCAAGGTGGCTCAAGGGGGTCATATCAATGGGAGATTCCTAAAGACATGCGATATCGTAATTCAATGAATTTTGCCTTTAAGGAGTTCTGAAATTTGACCCACGAAGAAGTCTATAAAAAGAAACACATAAGTGACAAATAACAGAGGAATGATTGGCCTCATGAAACTAGACACTCCTTAAGAAGCTTTCCTACAAATATGCAGCAATCAAAGTGCCTAGAAAGTAGCCTTAATGGAGTGGGTTACATTAGTAGGACTTGAGGAATGATGATGAATGCATAGCTCAAACAGAACTGCAGAAAAGCCACCCACTGCTGATGCGATCAACCGTGGTCTCAAAATAATCGCAGAGGCCGTGAAAAGCCAGAGGAGACACCCCGAACATAAAGTATGCGGAGAGAGAAAGAGGCAGAGAGAAAAGGCTCTTGACGCTTTCTTACACACCAATTACAGTTTTCTTCTGCACTTAACAGGTCCTATGCCATTTTTTCTGTCTTCACTTAGTTCGTGTGTAGAGCTTTTCTGGCTGGAGCGATTTTCCACAGCCTTAAATAATAGCGAAGGAGCTGCAATTTTTGCAGATGAGTTGGAGTTGCAAAAACGGCACTGAGAGCCTTGATAATGAGAGGAGCTTTTGCAAGAAAAGAGGTTGATATTTAATAATCACTCAATATTTCACCGCCTATTGATTGGAAGGCCACACGAAGTTCAATCAAAAGAAACCCATCCGCGACTGCTTGAAGATACTCAACTGTTACGACTGCCACAACTTGTTGAAAACAATCAGCAAAAGTTTTGGAACGATGTCCAAATGTAACACACTTATGTAAAGTGTTCTAGTTAAATTTTTACTAAGAATACAGATAACCAGGTCCAGATGCAAGATTAAATTTATTCTAATCATACATTAAATATGTCGCCAATCAAGTCACCACAGGCCGCTACCATCTTGGTGGCATGGCCCTCTGTCCATGGCTATAGCCTCCCATGTCTTTTGTATTTTAATCATAAAAGCATTAATAAATGGGCAAATGACTCGTCTAATATTCCACTGTTTTTCCCATGGATGTCGCAAATGGACTTCAAATAAAAATGGTAAAAATAAATTAGGAAGGGAGTGTGGAAGTAGCATTGGAACCGGCCCAGTATATTTCGCTGTTTGCATTCAAACCTTTAGCTTTGCTGAAAAAAATCCAATTCACAATTTCGAACTTTTGTTTAAATGTATTAGTGCAGTGGTATAAGTACAGTGAACTAGAAATAAGGCAATTGAAGAAAAAGGATTAGAAGAATCTAACCCACCGAACAACCTCAGTTCGCGGTAACACTCCATGGAACCATGGTTCCTTGTTAATATCAACATCATCCTAAAACAAAAGATTATAGGAAAAAATAGCATAGATACAGGCCATGCAATGGTAACACAAAATGCATTAGAACTTATCCAAATTACCATAAATCAGGTCATAATAATTCATCTGTGGGACCATAACAGCTTAAAATGCTTTAGTTTGAATAGGAGAGGGGAAGCCGATGAAAATGCTCTCTCCTCAATTCACACAAAATATTAATCAAGATGGGGACGATAGCGAAATAAACCAGACATGAGCCATGGATCATCAAATCCTTTTGGCATGCAAATATGCATACTACTGAAATGCATAATCAGGGGAAGACGGGCTAAACCAACGACATGCAGGTGGGATCAGGCAGAAAGTAGTAACAAATGGTAGCAATTTTTTTTGCATACCTCGACGGAATTTATTTTTTAAATCTGAAGAAATAAGAAAGTGACGGACAAGTTAAGCAAGGTGATCAATGATCCTTGGAACTGTTCGTAGTTGTAAATTTCAGTCGGAGTGATTTGAAGGGGTATCAAAAGTAGGCGCCAAATTATGACGATGAAAGTAAGCATTTTAAAGGTTTAAATTAGTAAAATAACACCATGACTTAAATCATACATTCGTATTTAATTATATGCGCTTCATAAAGTCGAATAATCAAAAGACAGCTTAATTAGGTAAAAAAGAAGGCAGAACCTCAGATTATGTGTTCAAAAGAAAAGTGAAAATGCACTCGTTAAAATAAGCAAGGCGACCTTTACTCATCGAATCCTCATATTCTGGATTTTAAAGAATAGAATCAAGTCATAAATATCACCTTCTAGGTTTCACGCTACATATATTTTACCATAAAACTGCTGACATCCGAATGATATAGCTGCAAATCAATCTTAAAAGCCGCGTAGAAGTACAAGGACGCATCGACACAAATTTGCAAAAACAGAAACAAGAGGAATAACTGGGTTGACCCGTACCTGATCCATTCGACGTAAAACATCACCTTCGCCATCACCGTTTATTTGGTGTATAGATTCCACGGAGATACTGCTTAATGCTCCCCCAGCCTGATCCTGATCCTGATCTACCGATGAGGCACTGTTAGCTAGGATATAAAAGAGAATAACCAGAACAGATATGCTCTTTGCTCCCTAGAGAACTATCCTTTAAGCATGTGTCAATGAGACTTGGGAGGGTAGACAAAACTACGAGGGCTTGGCAACCCAATTTGAGTTTTTTCGGGAGCCTAAAAGAAGACAAAAGTCTGCTAATTTGCATGTTTAAACCAGAGCTTCTAGACGCGCGTACCTACTATTTGAAAGAAACTGATAAAGCGAACCTCAGGCGGGCGCCGACGATACTTCAACCACAAATCTTAGGTTTCTAAATTGTTTCGATAAGATAGTTTTAAGTGAGGACACATGGGCGGACTAGAGCAAAAAAAATAAACACAAGACATTCACTTCCCATTGTGTGTATTTCTACGTCATTTTGATGCGCTAACGAGCTACTTTATCAGCTGGGGAGGGCGGGGGAAGAAATTGTGCAACCACCAGTGTGTCCATTTATTGGCTTGAGATGGATGGATGGACGAGGAAAGAGAGGAGAGGAAGGGGTAACTTAACTGGGATGGATGAATGTAGGGAGTATGCGCCAAGGGAGACTATTAAAGCTAGAACGCCTCCTTTCCTTCAGTCAAAGCGGCACTCTCTTAAACCGGTTTCATATTGAACGACCATTTCGCTCTGGTAAGCCACAACCATAGGGAAACAAGAGACCTTGATGTGGAAAATGCAGTTATAAAGTCGTCAACTTCCTCTCACAGTCTAATTTATAAGATTTAGTCGAATTTTCCAAGCAATCTTGGACTCAATGGTTAGGCGTTGTAGAGAAAAAGATATTTTGACAAAATTTGGAAGGATATAAACTTCTAACGAGGTCTAAAAGAGGCAAATGATAAATTACGCTCATTTCACATTCAAATCTATTTTGATGACACAGGTTTGAATTGAAAGAGAATAGTCCTTGAAAACGATCCAAAGAAATGTGGAATTCGTCATTTTAAGGAACAAATCTCATTAAGGAAGCTTCTAACTACGTACAACAATTCCCGCTCATATCTCCTTGAAATAAAGTTAGAAAAAAACCACACTTTAAACATTTCATAAGTGCCTCAGAGCAGGGCGATCGCCGAATCACCGAATTACCCACGCCTGAAGTCATTACTCCCCATAAACCAACATCATTTACTGACTCGTATTAAAGACCACTTGGTTTAATTTTGAGGAGTAATGCCTTTTGTGATATTCCAATTAAAATATTCCTTTGCATTACATTTTCAAACAGTTTTGTGGTTCGCGGGCACCCTTTTAAAAACGTTCATTGGTAGAGCCACAAATCGGCGCAAAATCTATTTATTTATTTTTGGAACTAGAATCCAAAAAGCGAAAGTTTATTCATGCCGACAGTGACAAAGAAGGCAGCAAAAGAAACTAGCTCATAGTAGAGGGCTTTTCCAACAGCCTACAAGACCTTGAGAGAACTGTGAATGAAAGTTCAAGATATCCAAGTTCACTTCCTACGGTTTAGGCAACGCACCCTAATTAAAATCGTCATAGTTTGTTCCTATTTATCGACTCATAGAAATTCATATTCAATGGTGTCTACGGCACACCACATATTCTTTTGGTAGGTTGTCTGCCAGAGTCGCTGAGGGGAGTCAATCCCCACAGCTTAGACTTTGTATTCAACTTAGTGAAAATACTTAGACCAAAGTGATAAAGACCAACTTCCATTAATACGACAGCAGTAATGAGTATATTAAACACAAAATCCACCGACGGATCAACTACATCCAACTCACTTCGTGATCGCAGGAAGGCACCAGGGGCAACTGAGGTGGCGACACCAGTGGTGATAGAAGGGTCCTTCTTAAAAACTCGGTTTTGTTGGAACCTGTGCAGGGCCTTGCCGCCTACAATGACCGAGTGGCGATTGGTCGAGCGGGTGTCAGTAGGGGTGAGTGAGGATTTGGGAAAGGCTGCCAACGTTTGGCGGTAAGGTTCTTCCTTGATGGCCTTTATCGATCGGCGTTGAGGCGCCGAAGTGGAGCTAGCGGGGGTGGGGAAGGACGCAGAGGGCGAAACAACCGCTTCTGCTTGGTGTTGGACAAGGACATCATTCTCAGAATCGGACTCGCCGAGGCTGGAACGACCTTCAACGGATATGCTGTTGTCCTGTTTGGAGAAAAAAAATGAAGGACCTGATAGACCAATCCAAAGTGTGCTCCCAAATTCTTTCAAGTATAAGAAAGGGAAAATTTTATTTTGGGGCGTCATATCAGATGAAAGCGTCAGTATGAATTGATAAATAATAGAAAAAGTGCTTTAATAACAAGGTCATACTTTAATTTTGTGCTCTTTGATTAAGGCTCATTCAGCATTCACAGGTGATACTGAGGCAAAATCTCAAATGGCAAAGTATTGTGATGTTTAACTCAATCCAATTCTATTTAATTACAGCTATTAAGAACTTCTTCCTACGTCCTATGAAGGGAACTAGCAAAAGACATCAGTATATGTATATTTTCCCCATTTTCGATGCCCTTGGTTGGAGAAGGCTGCTTAGTTAGAGCCAATGGTTCCGTTTTCAATCATTTATAAGTGTTCCGCCCAAATATGGAGGAGGTTGTCAGTAGAGGGTTAAACGACCGAGGCCCATATGATACTTCGTAAGGTAATCCACTAAATATCAGCTCTTAGGTAGATTCAGGTTTTTAAAAACTGCCAGGGCTGGTTCATATTCCTTAAATCGAAACGAAGCGTTAACGATTAGGCAGGTTTGCATTTTTAAGATAAATTCATGATAATTGAAGGACCGAAGATTTAGGCGTAGACACTCATATGGCACTTTCTCTGGTGAAATCAGTGGCTATCCACTGCATTGTTCAGAACCAAACAACAATATATTCCATTAGTTCAAGTCATCAATTTCGCCACACCTCATACCACGACGAGTGCCATTCTCTGCCCTTTTAAGTGAAAATTTGCCTAATTTGCTTTCAAAGAAAAAGAGGTGACTGTCATGTCACAAATGTTCACGTAAGAATGAATCGTACACGATTTCCTCCTAGCTGTTGTACGCACAGACACAAACGTAGATATTCGCCCCAGGAATTGAGTGCACTCTTATAGAAGAAGAGGCCATTTTGAACTCGTTTGAAGCACATGGATCACTTCGCTTTTGGAGGAGAAACTAAAAAACTACCTCAACAACGCTTCCTCCCCTAAGAACAGCTCTAAGCCTAGACAAAGACGGGAAGAGGGAGACCTACATCGGATGAAAAAGGGAAGTTCGAGATTGTTTATTTTCTTCCTCTACCTGTCAGTGACAAGACGAAATCACGAGGGCGGCATTTGAGGGCAAACACCACAAAGTTAAAACTTCTGCACATGCATCAAAATTTAAAGACGTGACGATAACCGCAGTGATGACCAACTCTTTTTTGTTTGACGTTAACGCCACTTGACCTAAAACATACGCACACACACGCATGTATACATAAAACGCAAAGAGAAAACCAGTAAAATATAAATGTGATACCCATGTGTCAGTGGAAATGCAAGGGAAAGATGTCAAAGTGCATATATTCATAAGCCACCTTTAAAATCTAAGGTATACTTTTGGAAACTCAACTTCACTAGATAGTAATACAGATAAAACCAGTGAAGAGGTTTTCCAATCAAAAGACGGTAAAGTAAATGAGTGGTCGCCAACAAAGCTCCAGGATTGCTCAAGCATAGACTTCTTCAACTTCCCTATCACTCCTTGGATGATAAAGGGTTTTTGCCACTTCGTAAATTTGAATTCATTTAGTAAATCAAAGTGTGTCTCCTAGATCAGCAAGGCATAACAAAAAAAATTATACACATAATGAAATAAATTTCCAACCAACCCAACTTATGAACACCATGGAATGCAAAGTGCATCTAGATGAATGCAGCTGTGCATCTCTATTTACTCTCATAATCGTTCTCAATTAGTGCGAGATCTTTTCCAATGAAGTGGGCCACCTAAGCATGAAAGACTTTGCTTCGTATGAGCCTGGATAGATGGAGCCTGATCACGATTCCTTTAACGCTAGGATATTTCCTTCGCAGATAGATTACCTTAAGGTTCGCTAAGCCCCTTATCATCACCTGCAGAATTTACCTCTGCACCTGAACTCATATGTATACACAGTAAATCTACACAGACGTACACATAGAAATACTTATGCAGAAGTTATAAATCTAAGAGCAAACAGCATGCAAATATGTAAAAGTACATTTCCGAAAAACCTATAGCAATGCCTTCTCCTTGATAGAACATCGACACAAGAGGAATCTTCAGTTCTTTTAGTTACTGTGCAGTGAATTACCATTTGTCACGGTACCCCCTATAAAAGTGCATCATCTGATGCACAGAACCACTTCTGTAGATTGTCTTCTCCAATTGCTTTAAGATTTAGTGGACAGCGAAACAAACTTTTTAAAGCACGTGGAAATCCTAATGGTTAAATCACCTTAAAATTTTTGTGAATGAAAGAAGCAAGTTGCCGCCTTAAATGGTAAATAAGCGGAGAAGCCACTGAGGCGAGAATTTAATTATACAGCAGATTGAAGGGACGATAACTGATTAAATTTATTGTCCTTGAGTCTGTGAAAACGAAACTGGAGTGTGTAGAGAGCGATGGGCCTACTCGAATGAATGGTATGTACCCATCTATCGAGTAATGACCGTGAGTAACTGAGTGTGTATTTTGAAAGACGACGGTGGCTTTACTTCCATTTCTTCTTTTATTAAGAGCGGTAAATGCAGATTGCCAAACTGCGTTCAAAACAATATACCAAACAACTTCCTATCATAAAATTTTCCGCGCAAGATTCAACACGTGTGAAAATTCGCACCGTCGTCTGAGCTACGAAGACAACGTATTGTGACCAGCTACTGGCTTGATTGCTGAAAGCACATGAGCTAAGAAGTAGCAAAACGAAATGGAAAAAATTGGAATATAATGGAACCCTATAGTAGTAGCAATTGTGAGTAGGTAGAAGCCTACGTCTTTAGGATTGCTAATACGTTAATATCACAAACACTACGTTAACGTATATGCACGCAACAGGCATTACTCAAAGTAAAAATCCCTTTCAGACACACTTATGCCACTGTGCAACAAAACACATCCATGAATACCAGCAGGCAAAAAGCGAACTCTCACAAACATTCAGCTAGCTCTTTCTTCACTCATCAGCAACAGCAACACTATAAAGTTAGCAATCCAGTGTGTGTCCCATCACATACACATTCAGAAACACAATGGTGGACCTTTTAACTGGCTAGGAGGAAAGTCCGACGATATTATCTCCCAAAAGCCCATAAAGATAGGAATGTGAGAATACACCGTTGTTTGAGAAGAACGCCTTTCTGGATTCTAATATGCAAAAAGAATAAAGATAATTATATACGCTCTCGTGCCTGATAGAAACTCGTACAAAGAAAAATCATAGGAAATAAGATTGGGTGAGTCACGAAAATCATCTGAAATGAGAAAAGTGAGTCAATCTTTGGTCATTGTATGCGTCCACAAATTTCAGCAACGCTTAACGAATATATAGCCGTTCATCGCATGTCGCAAAAAATCTCTTTAAATGTTCAGAGATACGCACTAGGGCAAAATTATTCAGGGGGAATCCCTTTACGCTTGCGACTGCTAGGCCTGAGGATAAACTTCATCGTTGATTATCCATTTAGGTTGTGCTTTAAAACTAAGCCATGCAAGAGAAGCAGAAACGCCGACGATAGTTTAGTGGACCAATCTCTTCTTCAAAATAGGCCTTTACTGACAAATAAAGAATGCAGTGTCATAAAATTTTGGAGCGTTGAGTTAGAAACAGTTTATTGGAACAAAAAGTACTCCGAGAGAACATTTTAGAGTTCTGTGAAATAGCATCATTTCATATTTCTGAGCCGCTTAAGAGGGAACACATGAAGCAAAATGCACCTAAAGAGCAGAAACAGTTTAGGTAACTTCAGTGTGGATAGATTACTTGACCTTCCCAGAAGACAAAAAATTACTGATAAGTCGATGGTTTCTTTGCTAGAAGTCGCCCAAGCAATGAAAAGGGACTCTGACAACAAATAATTGATTCTAAAGTATGCGCATAGGCATAACCATTGTTATATATTCTTAAATTAGCGCCTTAATAAAAATTTCAAAGCATTTACGTAACATATAAACCTCGCACCAAAGTGCTTTAGCGTTGTTTACATCATGAGGTGCTAAGAGCCACAAAACTAAAATTTTGTGATATTTAAAAGAAATGAACAAAGTGAAATGCATCCGACGTGCTCTAAATTGGGCAGAGCTAACCGCAGAATAATTTTGTGTATCCATGGAATAAATAAATAGGAGACTTTTTGGTGGTCTATGCCCTCCTTTCAAGCCTATGCGTAATCAACTTCGTCCCAATTGACGTTCAGGATCAATATTTAAGAAAGTATGCGGCAAGTTTAACGATTCAGTTAGAAATATCTTTAAAAAATAAATGGTTCATTAAAAATATAAACTTAACGTCAGAGTGGAATCACTCTAGATCATCCAAAAAGGTCTAATCGAAATAAATTATTTCAAAACGGACCGAATTGGATAAAACTAACCACTTACAGAAAATTCTGAAGTTCCAATACTTGCTAAAGGATATTGGGTGTCTTTAAACATTGAATGCATTGAGTCACTTAACCTGGAAGACTAGTTAGAATGAGATCAAGGGGTATTTAATCGGATCAAAAGAGAAACCACCACTTGGTGAAACCCACCTGGTTGTCCAGCTGCACTCGCAGACAATGAAATCGCGATTCGAGCATGTCCAAACCAGCGGCTCCAACACCACCAGTCCCACTACCAGTAACGTCAGCAGCAAAGGCGGAATTGATGGAAGAAGTTGTGGCGGCGGCGGAAAGCAGTGTGGACGATGATGAGGACGACAACGTCATCGGTTGTGGCAGCGATGACAGCGGTGGTGAGGGCGCCACCACTTCCGCCTGTTGTAGCATCCGCACAATCTGTTCATGGCTGTCCGCGAAGCACACCGACTGACAGTGGATAAACTCGCAAGTACCCAACTGGATGGCCAGAGCGCAAAGTGTAGCGGGTTTTGTGGCCGCGCTCAGAAAAACCTTCTCCTCGTCCACTCTGGGTGGCGCCTCCAAGGGGCTGAGGGCTTCTACCTCGTCCAACAGGCGCGTCATTGCTTCGTCTGTCTTTAGAGCAGTAGGCAGATCGCGTAATATTGGGCCTACAGAGGATAGCACTGAGATCCAGGTGGAAACAGAGGAAACCAGCTTGGTGTGCTCGTTCTCCAGCACCTGAGTTATGCTTCCCTGATTGGCTACTTCTTGCAGGTGGTTCTGCAGTCTGGAACATTGTAAGAGGGAGTAATCCAATCGGCTCCGAAATGGGGTTCCAAAATTATGAATTTACCAAGAGACAGATAGATTTTACAGTCCGAGAACAGGTCTAAAAATACTTAGGCAAGCCAGTTTTTCCCATTTTAGACCGATTGAATGACAGAAAATAGTTTTGCACTGCTCCAGTATCGTCAGAAACTTGCTCTAAGTGATTATAGAGTTTAAACATAAACGAAAACGAAAAGCAGAGACTTCGTTCCCTTGGGGACAGACCATATCTTTAAGCTTGATCAAAGGACAAAATCATTAAATTCATTTTTCACAAACAAATTAATCTTGAACTTCAAGGGAGTCAAGCATGTATGAGGAGGTCATTCTTGAGTTTTAAACCTTCAAACCAAGGCAGAAAGACATGGTAAGCAAAGTTCCTTTACTATAAAAGCTGTACAAATTCCTTTGGTGTAGAAATGAATAAAGAGGTGACGAAAATTTCCCAGTTTACAGACAGCACAATTTTCGATAGAGCAGTGAAATAAAGCAAGTAACACAAATAGGATAGCAAGCAGCAAATATAAGCTTGACTTCTGACCTTAATTACTTCTAATTGGCACTATTATGCAACAAGTCTTGAAACACCCATCACCAACTACAGGATGTGAATTCAGTCAATTAACTACCATAGACAGCATTTTTAGAAGCAATAAATTATCACCTTGCAATAAATGATTTTCATATATCTATTATTTTTCACGAAGCTTATTAGATTATGACTTTTAAGCTACATACAGTATTCTTAAAAATGCATCTATTGGGTTAACTAATGACGCTGAATACGGAAAAAGGAACCCAAAATGTTCTTCACCGATATTTTGTTTGGTTATAGGCGCTACCTTAGATAATAAATCAGAGCCTGATTCTTGTTTGTGTGCCATACACTAAGAAAAATAACCATTTCCGCAGGTTAAATGCACTTAAGGTTACTGAGAAGCACCACCTAATCAACTCAAGTAGATGCAAAATCACTGTATTCATTATCTGCCCCATAAGAAATGTAGTGGAATGTACAAGCCGTACCATGTCATGGGCGTATTCTGAGGTATGGAAATCCAATGGGGCTTCTAACTAGGTCAATGAAGCACTCAGGTGTGTCAAAACCCTCTCTCCTTCCCCGCAACAAATCAAGGCAACTCACAGCTTCCGGATCGGATAAACAGTCATCTGGTTGACAATAATCTTGTCCGGTTGCAAAACTTCATCCCCAGCACGCACAAGGAGGTCCAAATCAAAGGGAAATACCCGTCTGAAGGTATCCTCCCTGGGAGCTCCAATACCCTTATTTAACTCGGTATCGAGGGTGGTGTTCCCCAAGGGATCCGAATCGGGCGGCGCAATAAAATCAAAGGTACCCCTGGGAGCCTGATCAATGCGTGCGAGACGGAGAAGGTAAGAGACCGCGTAGTCAACCAATCGTAAGCAACGATTGAGATTGCGATAGAGGCACGGTTGCAGGCGGGTCACAAGCCATTGGTGATACTGGCGCGCCGTAATTAGAGAAAGGGTATAGGTGTTGTGTGCCATGTGGAGTTTCAAAGTGGTCCCGTCCAATTCATTAACAGATGACTCAATAGCTTTCCGCTTACTAGCCATACCTAAGGAGGGGAGGAATAAAGGAAAGGCGATGATAAACTTGCCTTTCTCGAGTAGCGAGTTTAGTCGAGATCGTAGACGAGTTACACTATCCGCGTACTTTGCATACTTCTTCCAACACTCTCTGACATCAGCCTCCAACTAGATAAGTTGACAGAATAAAGAGGACACCCAGGGTTTACCTGTGAGGAGTAGGTCTCCAGCTTTGTATCCAACTCTATGTAGAGCGATCGAAGGCGCTGTAGGGCGTCTGAAACCATTTGTAATTGATAGGTGTTTATTCTCTTGTGGAAAGAGGCACGACAGGCCGCAATTTCGGCGCGCGTTTCGTTAGCATCAACGAAGCATTGTAAAAACTACAATGACAAACGAACGAATTTAGTTAACACGAGCTAAAAATGTGAATTAAGAAAATGAAAGGAAATGCTACCTGTTTAGCTTGTGGGGCACTGGAACCCTGAAAACCATTTGTGCGAGAAAAGGGAGAGGTCTCTGTTGTCATTTCGGAGATACCGGAGTCCACAACTGAATTATCACCAGATGAGGAGGCGCCGGCTCGAAAGGGTGGATTTAGAACGTTTGCTTGACTTCCATTAAAGTTAAGTTGTGTGGTGGTTCTACCGTTCCTCTCAAATTTTCGTGACTTTGAATACTGAACCGTGTGCCATAGGGCATTGGAGACCTTATTTTCGGCCTTTGCTGCACGAGTATAAAAGTCCAAAAGGTCATCGATCGCCTGAATGCTCTCATCAATTTTTGCAACACACATCAAGCGCGACTGTTTGACGGAGACAAGAGAGAACGGAGGCAGACCGGAGGATTTCCGCTGTCGAGTGGAGAACAATGACATAAATCCTGTCTGTTGACTACCCGAACGAGCAGATACAGGGGGCGCGCTAGAAGAGGAGCAATTTGTAGCTACATCCACCGCACATTTGAGGCCATTACTTGCAACTGCAGGAGTTGGGTGGGCAAAGGAACCAGTTTTTGTTTGGCCACTTTCCGCTACAGAGCAGTTCACTGAATTATTTCGTATCCCTCTATCGAGTGGCATCATGTAAGTGAAACTGGTTACACAATTTCTCTAAAATTCGCATTGAAGCATAATAGTCAAGTTAGAAAGCGCGAACTTCCACCACAGTGAAGAATTGAGTAGTTTGAGCAAGTGCATAGTCAACCAATAGGATTAAAAAAGATTAACTAATTACAGTTAAGGCGTGACATACAGTTAATGAATTTAATTAGTGTTTATTTCACTTATAAGTTTTTCACCCCAAAATATGCGATTATAAAAGTGTCTTTGGCGTCATTAAAAGGCAATGGCAATTAAACTTTGCAAAACCCCCAAAAAGTATAAGGTTTTAAAATTCTTCAAAAACGAATAAATCTTAAACTCCAAAGTCTGGGATTGATTAAAGTAATCCCTGCTTGATATTAGATTTTATTTTATTTTAGCTACAATAAGGGAAACTGCAGCACCTTTCTTTGAATCTTAAGACTGATAATTTATTGGATGAATAGTTTAGAAAAGCAACACCAAATGCTTATATAAAACAAAGGTTAGAACCTAGGGAGGCATCAATGGCACAGCCAGCGGTATGATCCAATGCAAACGCAATGCATGTTTACAAGTTCTAAGCATTATGAAGGCCCGTGCATTCAAAAATGTACGGGTAATGATTCTCATAATAGTAAAATAAGTGCTGATAGGCCGGCGTTAGCAACACTGTAAAGGAACTTACTTGTGTAATACGATAGTGGTTTATCCCTCGGTTCTGGTGAGGCGCCACTTTTGTACTTTGAAATAGCCCCCTTGTACCTCGCTGGATGGGATGGCCTTTTGGGCCATGTCAATAGGCCGGACACTTTCTCTGCGCTGAATGCATATTCTGCCTGAGTGCTCTGTCTTCTTTCGTCTTCAGGGAGTTTTGGGGTGCTGTGACTGTCCCATCGGTGTCTCTCGTGAGAATCCCAGGAAAGCCGATACTTAAAACTGTTGATTTTAAATGCTGCAAAGTTTTTCTTCGGTGATTAGGTGGTTTTGCAACATATTGGTGAGAAATTAGGAGCCTCATATAGTAAAACAATTTGAGGAAACCTTTTCAATATAAACTTTGGAGAAAACATTAAGTCGCTTTTATATGACAAATAAAATAATTTGCCTGATACTTTGATGAGTTCTCTTTCTTTTGCAGTTTTGTGCTTTTTAGCGGTCTTAGTATTTTTGTTTAAGTATTCCAATATCAATGCTTTTTTAAGGTCATGCGAAGCTATGAAATGTCGAATAGAGTTTGTGGCTGTCGCTACCACGGTCCTACTAGTTATCGTTCGCTGCTTCTACACGGTTCAAAAGCCAAATTTACACTGCGCTTCCTACAATTTTACGCGAGAAATGATTTTAAGGCTTATCAACGACCCTGTTAATCCTCTTAAAACCACGGTCTACGTTATTACCCCAACCTATCAGCGATGGACACAGAAAGCGGATTTAGTGCGACTTTGTAGTACCCTAAATAATGTGAAGTTTGTTCATTGGATCGTTGTCGAGGACGCAACAGAGAAGTCAGAGTGAGTCTTTTTGCATCTTATGATACTTATTCTGGCTTTTACATATTCTGTTAAAACTCAGTTTTGCACTATCTTTTATGCTTTTTCCCTGCACAATTTTTTTTACTTTTTGGGTTACTTGTTGTTGATACATTTCTAAAATTAATAATGTTTTTGGTTTTTGATTAGATGAAAGTAGTTATCCTACCTAAACTCATTTATTCTGTCTAGGCACAATCTTGCAATTGCACTTTTTTAGACCTAAATTAGTTGTATCTTTTGCAAACTGTTCTGTCTTTCATCCTGCATTGATAACACAGAACTTTGCGTAATTTCTTTAATCACTCATTATTCAACCATTTTTCCAACTTTTGCATTCAAGCTCCCACCACTGTCAGTTTTCTGACTGCTTTCCATTGTTTTGTTTTCAATGCTAAAAAATTAATTAACGTTCAAATTTGTAACCTCAGTGTACCGCTAGTAGGCATTCTTGCTATTAAGCGATATTCTGGCCTTTCACGGTTTTTCTTGCCATCGCGCAGGTGTGCTTTGTAATTTACAGATGACAAAGGTGTCAATTTGTTTGTGTTGTTAACGATGAGAAGATGGTAATACCTGAGTGATCAGAACTCTGGACGTTTGTGCTTGCCACAATTTTATCCATTGCACAGTTTTACACTGGACTAAGGTTAGTTATTGTGAGGAGCGTACCAACACACCGCAGACCTAAGTCTTATCTCTCTTAGCTGTCTGAATTCTACCGTAATCAAAGAGCGTCCTAATCATTATACTCACACTCACCCGCTGTCAGAGAGCTTTCTTTTGCAATCACTAAAAGCCATGAAAGCATACGGCATTTTTTCGTTTTATACGACATTGCAAATTTTATAGTTCCCTCCTACATTAAATGTACTACACATCTTGCCAAGATATATCCGCCTCTCCCTCTTATTCTTTTATTTTATTCATCTATCACTCGATGACAGTAGATCGTTAAAATTAATTTCATTTTACAATAGAATCCCCGTCAAGCATGTGTGTGGATGTGTACATATTTCATTAGTCTAGGAAGTTGTTTTTTGCTCGAATCACAGACGTGATTGGTTTGGAAACGACTGCTTTCTCCTACTCTCTGGCTTTCCCGCGGTGTCGTTTTTCGTGTGCATCGTCATTGACCCCCTGTTCTACTAAAAAGAAGCAATTAGCTTTTTATGTCGATAATGCTTCCTATCGTTAATTTCTATTCTACCGTATATTCCACCATACATTACGTGTTTCCTTATTTTCGTCATTGTTAGTTTTCCTAGTAATGCGTAAACTATTTCAGCAACCACGACCTTATTCCACCACGTTGGATTACATCTGACTGCCCACATCCCTGAACCCTTGTGCAGGCAACTGACAGTCAATTGCAAATAACCTTAACACACTAACAAATTTTATTCTAGCCCTTTGCAGACGTGGTTTATACCCTCTTTTTCTTCCATTTCGAGGCGAACCTATTTCTCATCCTCTTGCCTGGTCTCGTTTAAATTGATGAGTATCCATGGTTGACGTATTATACTGATAATACTCAGGCTGATTTAGTGCCGATTCCTGGCTTACAACAACAATGATGGCTGATTATCCCTATCACGTTGCTTTGAGCACCGTGATACAGGAGCATACTTCTTTGCTTTTCACTAGAAATAAATTTTGGGCGATTCGAAGAAAGTAGTTATCCGAAAAAGTATGCGTGTGCTTTAATCGCACTCTCCGTCGTTCTCGGCCTTATTTGTTGGGGTGGTTAATTTTGTACACATCACCCTCGGTTCTCTTTTAGTAGTGTTGCTATTACCGCATCCAGCACTAAATGGCAAATTACCTAGCTTGAGCATACACCGTTGAGCAAGTGATCGGTTGATGTGTGAAGAAAAGTCCATTCAATATCACGTTGCACCAAAGTTCGGGTGGTATCCCATTTCCTTTGCCTTCCTGTACATATTGCCTTTTAGCATTTTTTACCAACTTTTGGTATATTTGTGCCTGACTGTCAAGTTAATTTGTGTGCCATAACTCACCTGCATACGTATTCTTCGGGCAGCAACGAAACTTGTCTAAGAAAGTGCTTTTGTGGTAAAAAAACGCAGACTTCACGGAACTCTCTGGGCATGGGGAGGCTCCGCCTATCCATTAAATGTTTCTATGTATTAAAAAGAGGGAAATTTCTGCTCACGAGCTTGGACAGATTTTTTAGTTTAGATACTGTCCGCTGAGGATGTAGAACAGGAACAAACACTATTGAACCCTTTCTTTGTACCAAAATATTACCACTACAGCCTTCATCGTATCTGTGAGGATCATTTTTCATTATCCATCTAGTGCATCTGCATTTCTTCAGGTATCATGGTAGCAAAATTATGCCCAAATTTCAAGAATCCAATTTTCCTTTACGTACTTACGCGTAATAAGCAAATCTAAGCTAATCAGTAGGCTTCATTGTATTCCTTTTTTGGATAAATACGTTTGTTCTGTCGTGCAGTGCAAAACTTTAACTGACGTCAAACAGGAGGCACAGGTTTGTGTAAATTTTTATTGCTGCCCTCAAAATTAATGTGGAATAGCACTATAAAACCTACTGCTCCTAATTTACCTTCTCATTCCAACGCCAGGTATATTACCATTTTTTGTGGAAATAGAGACCCTAAAGCCTGTGGCAATCATATTTCAGTCGCACCACTTGTCCAGAAATTTTAGAGTGAGATAACGAGACCAGGTACTTTGTGTCTAGCATTAAAAATAATGCTCTTTGAAAGTCATCACCCGCTGCTATTTCCAATTTTGCTCCATAGCATGATTTTCCCTTTTTCACCATGCGTACGTTTACATTACATTCACCAGCTTCGTCTTTGATGTTACCTATTACGTGTAGTCTATTGTCTTTTGGCAACTGCGACAGCTTTACGCACATTCATGATGTAACAATCTCTCTTTCTAGCACCTAAAATTGCTTTCTTGTTATCAGACTTCCATAAGTCTTCCTTTCACAATTTAAGGCTAAGTCGTTGCATAGCTAAGTGAATTTTTTCTCCCAGGCATGAGTGGAACAGGCTCCATGCATCAGTCGGTTAATGTGTGTATATATATATATATATATGTTATTTAGAGCTGGGAGTTTTAGTATTCATTCACAGTCAGGCGACACACATTGAAAAAAGGGTCGTCTTTCACCGCTCTCTGCACAGATCACTATTTCTACTATTTCCTTGTGCGAAACTGCTTCGCAGCGGCTGCGCCATGGATTCAGTGTTTTGTAGGACCTGTAAACTCAAATTTGAGTATAATCAGTGGATTATATGTGGAGTTCCCTGAAAAAATCACTTCCAGTGCTTGGGAATTGCATAGCTAATGATTGACAAGTGGAACGCGTAGGAAGTAGTGCGCGACACGGGTGAAGCAGAAGCAGCAACTGTAGTAATCATACTTGGAGTTTTCCGGCACTAGCAATTACAATAGACTGCATTAATTTGAAAGGTACAGACTTTTGCATGTGACTGGGCAAGTCGGAGTGATTCGCTTTTGTTGTTTGATGTGAAACCATCGACCTATCCATCCGTGGACTTTGCACACCTACTCTCTGCCAAATGTCAACCAAAGGAGACGTCGAATAATTTCATCAGAAAATTCTTATGCCACCCTCCGTCTACCTCCCTCTATGATTGTGACACACCAGTCCAAAAAGTGAGTAATTGTCGGCTCAAAGTGGCATTAAGTGCGGTTGGTTGCTGTCCGTAACACAACACCAATTTCCTTGTAGCTACTTATTCTTCTCCCCTGTATCATCATTCATTGTTGGTCATTAACTTTTATTTGGGTCACTCATGCCTCTTTCTCAATGATGGTAATATATTTGGCTATTTCGGACATGGCAATTGTATACTTCTATTCGACTTTACGAAATATGTGTACACCTATAATTTCACAGAAATTGTCAGACATTAGGCCAAGGTTTAATTAGTACTTTCGGTTCTATTTTATTTGATGCACTGCAGTGATTCTCCTATAATTTGCTATAACTTATCAACAGTATGGAGTCTTGTGTTGACTTTTGCCCACTGTTGACTTCTGAAAATTTGGTAAATGTGCTAAAATGCCACTGCCATTCCACACCACTTCAATCCAGTATCGGCATTTGTTTGAAAAAAGCTGCTAAATTTGAAGACAAGGAGAGTATACTGTCGTTTAGTTAGTGAGAGAGCGATTTTTTGTTACGACAACCTAAAAAAGGGCTGGGAGCGGATGCCACGTATGTGTTTAAGCCGCACAGTGTGATTAAATAGACTATTCAAGTATTTATGATGTTGTTTGGAACTTTTGATGGTCATGGTCGCTAACAGGAAAGCGATGCTTACGACGCAATTGTTTCACGTCTGCCTACCACTGAAGTACGTGCATACGTTTGTATGATTGAATTCAAGTCTATTTGACGCCTCACACACTAATAACCGTGATGTAGGATTTTGTTTTCAGGCATTCGGGGTTGTGTGTGGGTGTATGAATGATTGCGAGTCTCTCGACGTATCTTTTTGCTTCCGTTTTGTGGACCACAGACCATAAAATTCATTGTTCTTTAAGTCGCTAAAGGCATGTTTTTGTAAGTGCTTAATTCTATTTTTCATTGTCCTTTTTCCGGTCCTAATTCTGATCGTAAAGACCATTTTGAAACTGATTTTTCACTCTGATGGATTATCAAGATCTATCAGTGTCCTTTCAAAAATAGTTTTTAAACGTCTCCTCTTTTGGGGGGAAGTAGAAGGCGATTTTAAAATCGACTATACTAACAAGGGGTGCTAAGTAATTTCTTTTAGCCCCATTTTTAACAGCCGTAGGCTGGGTGTTGAACTCCTTTTTAATAGAAATCTCCTGATACCTGTAATCCTGTATGTACCATTTCCTCTAGCACCTAGAGAAGAAACGCTTCAATTCCATTCCCCCTTTGTCGAGTTTTCTGCGTCCGTGTCATGAAGTATTTGTGTCGACATGGCAGAACCACCACCGGCTAGGCTGCTTTGCAAAATATACTGGCTTTTACGTAGTAAAAACACTCCCATTTACGGCAAACACTGTTTCTAATGGTACTAGTTAGGTTCAAGAGCAGGACCATGTTTAAACAATAGACCCGTATCTCTTACTGGCGAGAGATAATTAAGTTTGATATTTTACCCTTACACGCAAAACCGCTCCAAGAATCCTGACAATCGGCTTGTTGACGAAATGTATGAAAAAAATTCTTTGTGTGCTCCGTATCCATCCAATAATCTTAATGGTTGCAATCTTAGGCACTACGCATAAATGTGGTTTAAAAGGTCGAAAAGTGTCTCTTAATTGGCTCGGTATTCATACTAACTCAATTCATTCTAGGTACAAAAAGTGGCTGTTACTGTCTAGCAATTCTCAGTATGTCTGTTTCATGTCTCGCTCCACTAAAGCACTATCCAAATGCGAATTGTGCATGACGCCTGTTAGGTTTTTTTTAAATTATCCAGCTAGGTAGATTGATTAGATCATTAAGTGGAATGGACGAGATTAGCCACCAAATTTTAAGTAAATTCACTTATTTTTCAGAAAAAAGGCAGACTGTTGAATTGTGTGGGAAATTTGTTCATGTGCGGATTCACCTTGATTGTATGCATGTGTTTCAAGCATCAAATCTCCTTCTACTCTCCACTACTGCAACCATGGGAGGAGTTTGCTACTTACTAGCGTTTGCCATTTCTCTCGAGTGCAATCGTCAACCTGTTATTTGGAGGCGTGTGTCAATGACAACGGGTTACAAAATCTGGCTCTTTTAATAGGCAGACGTAGCCAAAGCTTTTCGGAGTAGAATTTTGTGTTCTTGAGGCGTCGAACCAGTCTCCTTGTGCATGTGGATTTGTTTGAATTAATTACACCCAATGCGACTGTCACTGCCGTTACACATGTGTGACTGAAAGCACCGACTGTCCATCTGGGTGCGTAGATATGTGTGTAACTCAACCGCATCCCCTCTGTGGCAAACGAATTGGCATCCTAGGTATTCTCTCAATCGCGTACGTGTACTCTCCTGGCTCCGCAGTTGTGCCGACAGCGCGCTTTGATTGTGCCCCCAGGGAGGTGTGTGCCAGGACTGGCTTAACTCAGACATGGTATTTGAACTGATTTGGCCCAACCGTAGGCGTACTTTGTTTTGGCTCCTTAAAGTGTTATTTGAAGGGAAAATCGTTGCAATTACTACTGTGATATACTGAAATGAATATATTTTATCATTATGGGCGATTTGGCGAAGGGTAATTTATAAATCCGGCTATGGTAGGACTTACCTGAAATGATCCAAAATTGCATGACTTTTGAAATCATTTGACAGTCCAGTTATTGTGAGGAAATTTGAAGATCTGAACGCCACTAAAGTAGGTCAGATTTTACAAAATCTCTCTTTGTTTGAGTTTTGGTCTGGCTTTACTTTCCAAACACTAATTTCAAGACTTGTAGGATCGTTTTGAATCAAACAAAGGGTCGTCTTAAACAGCCCGATTATGGTTGAACTAGACTTGGCTAAGTCGTCAAATGCGACTCGTAGTCACTGGTAATCAAATCTGCTTAATTGATGTGTTACTCATAAGTCGGGGTAAACAGATACTTAAATCTCACGAAGTAGATATTGAAACTGCCTTTTCTGCGGAAACATGCCAGTCGACATTTTTCTTTTAGTCATAGTAAACAGTTTTTGGAAAATAGGCTGAATAGAAAGTGTTTACACGTCAAACTGCTAAAAATATAGCCTGTTAAAAGGCATAGATAGCGTTTGTACCATCTACTGCCGCATTGTATTATTCAAGCCAAACGCTCTTCTAACACTTGACCACAGTATTTTTGGTATTTGCCGCCTTTGTTCAAGGACTCATAAATAGTAGGTATGTTCGATGGCACGTATGAATGAGTTATTTATGACCGCCTTTATCAGCAGACCTATCTCTTGTGCCTCAAATGCATGTACAATTACCCAATTCCTCTCAAAAGGGCTGAGTTTATTCTTCACGTTCATCGGTGCCTTGCATGTTTACTCACTGATGATGATTAAAGAGGCTAATGATTGGACAGCAAGTCCCTGTAGAAGTCGGGTTTTTGATGATTCGCTAATTTGGCTGCATCCTCATTTTGACCTCTTCACTCACCTTAATGTAAATTTATTTTGTGACCTTAGCGACAAATTTGTGACAACTTTGTCCTCGTTATCTTCAGAAACTTTTTTCTTATGACTTCCTCCGTCCCCTGTTTTGTGGTCAAGGTCATGCCTTGTCCCGACTAAAAATTTAAAAAGTTACATTATCGCACCATTATTCCTAAGATCTAGAGCAATTAATAAGGTATTTTTGTTTAGGCTAAAGCTCCTCTCTTGGTATTCACCTTAGTCACAAGATTAAAATCCATACAGTGGGTCTCTTTAATCTTCTATGCATCCATTAGCCATACGGTCATCGACCATATAGGTTGTCAATATTTCTAGTTGATTACACCTTGTCGTTGATTTTACAACGGTACTGCGAACCATATTTTAAAATAACGCATAGACTGGACTCTCGACGTAAAGTAGTGGTATTGAGCCCTTAGGGAATTTGGTGTGATAACGTGGCTCAAGTGATCAGGTGGAGGTGCATTAAATGTTTACATAGAACCACGTAATTTTCAGTGCGGACGTCAAATATGGACCATGAACGGCCGTGTAGTCCGTGCATTATTAACCACCTAGTAATAGTATGATGCCTATGATTGTTTTCATGTAAGACCAATTCGACCACTCATACGAGACAGTAACACCTGTTTCGTCTCTATCATGTCTTCAAAAAGCTACGGCTACCTAGCCGAGGAAATTAGTTCAGGTCACAATTGTAACCTGCACCAGTCCTACCTCCATCTTTGGCCTACACGCCGCCACTAACCCACATAATTGCCAAAGTGCGAACCAATGACTCCAGCTGCAAAAGCGCCTAATCACTTTAGTCTTTCCTGGAAAACAAACACAGCACAAACTTTTGTACATTCTCACTCACACCCTGTTAATATGCCATTTTAGTGAGGTCACTGAGCTCACGTGCTCACGCCTTCCCTCTAAAAAAAGCCTGGTAGCTGATAGTGCCTGAATTTGAAAATTAATTATTAGGTTTACTAGCCTCACTTATCCACTACAGATTGGTAACTGAAGTACTCTCAGAATGTGGTGTTCCCTACACACACCTCAATGCGATGTCGCCCTTTCGAAGGCGGAAACGAGTGCGCGGTTCAGCACAGCGCAACAAAGGCATCGAGTGGATTCGCAATCATCCTCTTCCAAATACCGAAAAAGGCATTGTCTTCTTTGCTGACGATGACAATACCTACGACCCACGGATATTCAAAGAGGTGAGTTTTGTAGCATTTGTATTATTTCTTAATTTGCATGTCACATGAGTTTGAAAAAGGCTCAAACACAGATTTACAGAAAGGCTTGGGGATAAACATCTTACCAATGTGGCAGCCAAAGTGTAGGTGCTTGAAAAAGCTAACATTTTCAAATGTATAATCAAAAACAAGTGTCCATTTAACATAGGTTCCCTTTTTTATTTTGGTGGATCTACAACCATTCCTTATTCAAATGGTAACAGTGATGCGATTCTCAAATGTCGCATTATCGGTTAGTAAAAATGTGTTAAGAAAGGGAGTTCACTTGGGTGGTAGTGCTAAACCCTGACCTATATCCCATGCAGCTAGTGCTCTCCTTCTGGCAAATGCTTTTCATGTAGACATTTGTCGACAGGTGAAGTTCAAGCAAATTTCAGTAAATTTTTGGAGCCCCAAAGGTAGTTCAATTTTTTCTGTCTCCTTCCACTCATGAATGCTGTGAGCCAATGGGAAAAAGGCTAGCCAATGAGCAATAGTGCTTAATACGGAAAATAAAGAGATTATTGTACTAGTCCTAGGGCATACGAGTTGTCTGTGAAACCGAAATGAGGAAGTATTTTCATTACGTTCTTCTACTGTTTTTGCGGCTCCAAAAAGAATCTATAACCGCAGTAACTTTTGCATATACTGTAGGTCTGAGTTTAAGGTTTCAATGTCAATGAGCGTCGGCATTAGTATTAAATTGTCAGGGTCCACCTTGTTGGTGGTTCATCAACTTTTCTGTTTTTACCTACACACATGAACAAGTGCTCAGGTATCAAGCGTGTGTGTGCAAGTGCGCTTATCCATTCTTTAAATAAATAAATAAATTTACTCAATCCCCAAGGGAGTACAAAACCCAATCGCCGCTACGGGATTGCAAATGGATGGAAATATGAGGTACAACTAGTCCTTCGCTTTCCAAACAGTTGTTCTTTCGTATGCGCACACGAGTGTGCGTTCTGACATTACTTAAAGCTTAGTAAATGTAACACTTTTTGACACACATCTTCCCTACTGTGGAGTGTGCAATGCTTAACGACTCCGTAAACTTTTGATAGCAAATTTGCATATTCCCTGGACTCGACAGGCAGATAAACTTACACCCTCCCTTTCCCTCCCTACAACAAATGAAATTGCATTGCTTTTAATCCCTCTATCGGCCATACTCTCTTAAATGAGCCAGAATAGAGTCTGACAGCCTTTCCACAGATTCTCTGTTCTGCTGAAGTTTTATTATCTCTAACACAATACAGGGAATTTTGTTTAATTTGACCCTTAATGGTAACTCAAACGTCATAAATCCTAGAAGCTGTATGAGCTGACGATCGGGGTGGGAGTAAAAGAATATGTAGAATGACTACCAGTTTAGACTGGAGGGTACGAATTGGACGATTTAGTCCGACGCACTGGTAAATATGTGAGGAGCTACGGCGATAATATTAAGGCCTATCTGTGTCTGCAAAACAGGATTTATTATTCACTTCTTTTATACTGCGCTGGTTGAATTAACTATACTTTTGGTAGTTACTCGGCATGGAAAAGCAGTGATTAGTACCGCCCCATGGTTCTTGACTGGGTGTTATTATAGACTTAGAAACTACAATTATGTTTTCCTCGGCCGATGTGGGCCATTCATTTGAAAAATTAAAGCATTATCAAATCCATTGCCACCTCACCTGACTACTTACTGGGGATTTTTCTTTCATTTAGATGCTCACGACACAACTGGGTTCTACTTGGCCAGTGGGTCTGGTTGGCGGAAGTAAGTGGGAGGGTTGCATCACTGACCCCAAGGATCGCAACAAGATCATCGGCTTTTGGTGTGTATTTCGGCCCTGGCGTCAATTCCCTTTTGACATGGCGGCCTTTGCAGTGAATGCGCGCCTATTCACTCTCTTCCCTACGGCTCGATTTGATTACCATCGCGCCCTGGAACAAGAGGGACTCATTCTTTCCCAGCTTGGCTTCCACAGTGCTTACGAACTTGAACCCAAAGCTGATGGTTGTTCCAAAGTGCGCTGGTCTTGCTACTTTTTTGTTAATCAGTAAACGTACTATTGTATACTAACAAGTGTATCTAAAACGAGGCTTTCATTTGTAGGTATTCGTGTGGCACACGCAGACGCGAACACCGACCGTCTTTCCCTACTTTGGATTTCAACCACCCCCTCCGGGTTTTGTGTAGATCGAGAAGAAAAGCAAACCAAAGCAAGAAAACCCTTTTTTATTTTTTTTTGATTTTTCCAAACGAGGAACATGGATTATTTCAGCAAAGGCACTGTGATAATAGTGCTCATTATTTTCCAGCCCTATTTTGCCGCAATACATCCACCTCTTTATGCCGCCCATTCCGAATTCTTCACTTTTTTGTATTGCTCGCATTTTTTGTTACAACCTGTCTCCCCTCTACCATTCTCTATTCGTTGCTCTCTTATGTATGTATGGAAATTTTTTCTGCTTGCGTGCTTGTATGCATAGTGTAGGCTCTTGTTAACTGCCGTGAATGGGCATTTATTTTCAAGTGGGAGAAGCTTCCCCAATTTCTGAATTGCATAAGAGATATGTTTTGTACATTACGTCTTATATAAACTGAGCAATTTGTTGAAAAGAAGAAATTCTACGATTAAAATAGGTTGTATTTAATTTCATTTTTTATTTGAAAAAGGGAGGTAGAAACAAACAAGGCGGTTATGTTGTAGGCAAAGAATGCATGAAGTTGGCTCATGGGGCCATGGCCAAACTTATTAGCATCTGCACAAGAAAAAAGCTTGAGGTGTAGATCTAGATGGATATGGAAAGATGGCGACTGATCGAGAACATCAGCATCACCACGCATGATGCATAAACCACGTAAGAAATGCCCAGAATTGGGTTGTTTACTTAAGTAAAGTGTTCCTATGACCTGGTCTTAAAGCATCAGGTGGAAATTACACTGATTCACTGAATGTGCTTCTGTTGGACATCCAAGAGATAAGGAAGTATAAAATTCTCGGAATCCGGATGATACTTTTAACCGCAAGGCTGCGGTAAGCAAATCTCAAAATCCGATTGCCATCAAAGCCTATTTTTGATAACCAGACAAATTTCCGGCGAAGGTCAGCAACACTTGATCGCCAAAGGCAGTAATGAAGTCTTCCGAGATACTGTTCATGGGACTCCATTCATCCATGTGCCTACAACGAAGTTGTGAAACGTGCGTACTTCGTGATGGGAAGGAACCCTCCAGAGAATGAGTTATACAGCATTTCGTCAGTTTATGCAAATCTTGCATCAAATTTAATTTCCACCTTTATATAAATACAAACAGCTAGACTACCGAGTAGGCTTAGAACTTCTTGATAAGTCACGAAATGGGTACACCACAAATAATACTTTCCTATTAGGCTACCGTTTTAAGTTTTCAAAAGCTACTCATTCACTTTTATGCTGTAGACACTCAGTGTACCCGCACTACACAGACTTTTAGCGCAAAAAACTTGGTGCCACTCATTTATGTACTTTGAAGTGGTTGGCATATTATTACAGGCTAAATACTAACAATAGAGACTTCTAAGAAAGTGCATCTCCATCCCCTTGTTGAAGGGGTCAAAATTTCCAGACAGCCCCATGTTGAGATGCACGCAAGTTGGTTAGGCAGTGATGAGAGCCCAAATGTGCGTCGTCCGCGAAAACGCTCGAGTCATCCCGCCGGTTACCGACCTGGGGCAGTGGCGGGAGCGAACAGAAATCTGACAAATGACATAAGCGCGTATGTGACCATATTTGGCTATGCACATAGTATGAGAAACAGAGTATCCATATGGTAGCTTTCGCTTTCCTTACCCTATGGAGCGCCTTCCCAGGACACAGAGAAGGTGTAGGTCCCTCTCTGGAAAGTATAAAAGCAGTGAAATTTATTGCTTCCTAACATACTACTATATGATGTGATTTCGTCAGGGCATCGTACTTTATTCTAAATAAATTAACAAATCGTTCTCTTTGTGAAACAATAGTCCGAATTCCCACAGAGAATACACGCTTCTACGAAATCCTTAAGTCACACGCGGCGGTAGGCCCATTGCTTTATCTAAAGGTGAGAAATGGGTTTAAAAACCAGCTGCAATGTGTTTGCTTCGACTGTCCGTTTTTGCGTTAATTTTGTATGTAAGTATGTGGCGAGTCATTTACGGGATTGTCTGCCCCCTTTATTGGGTGGATGCGAAGTGGCTTTTACGTGCATGGCCACTTAATGGGCTTCTGTGGCTACGCCGTTAGGTATCTCAGTAAAATGACGTGTGGGCAATGATTTTTGGCCACTATTAATGCGTACTCTTTGGTTTCTTTTGTGGTAAAGGGGGAAGTATAAACATGTTGTGGAGCACCGAAAGTTATTTTTATCAGGCTTCACTTGAACGACCAAAAGTTTGACAAAATTAAGAATTAAGAAACTAAGGCTAAGTTAGTGACATCTACCTCCAGTTTAGTAGAGTTCGTTGGTTAAAAAGGAGACCACGATCAACATCACTTCCTAATGTACCAGTAAAGGCAGCTATTCAGTGGATAGTCCTAAGAAATTAGAATAATTGAATGTTAAGACGCAGTACCTTCTAATGCGGAGGTTCAACACTTCCTATCAGGTTGTAAAAGTTAAGCTACTCAAGAAGACGTGATGGGGCAAACAAGCAATACAAGGGTTTATGGAATGACTAGCAGCACGGGTGGAGAGCCGGAGGTCTTCCATAGTATGATTTCGTTGTAGCTGGTCCACTTTCTTAAATGCCATGATTATCTGCCGCCACCTCTGCATCCTTTTGATAGCTATCAATGCAAAAACGTACTTTAATTTTAAATTTGCTTGAATTACGGGATTTCCAGGGTGGCATTTATACAACAGTTGGCAGGTTAAAGATGCATTCTATTTTGAGATGGTGAGGAAAACCACCTCGACGCATTTACAATTATGTTTGGAGTAATTTTATGTCAACTTAAGTTGACTGACAGTACCCTAGTTAATGCGTTCTCTTTCAGGGTTCTAAGGAAAAATTGCCCATCACAGCTCACATACCTTATGATTTGTAGTAATGACACCGATTCTGATAAGTTTGTAATAAATTTCTCTTCCATTCTTAGATAAAAAACAATTTTTCTTCTTGCATCGAAGAAGATAAGATCCGAACCAAATAAAATTGGTGGTCTGCTAGACATCATTCCTCTTTTTAAGCTCTTCTCCGTTAAAATTATTAAGGAGAGGTAAAAATATGGTTTCATTTAGGAGCCTAAAATATGACCTGATTCACGATGAATCCGTTAAATGATTAATTTATTTGGGCTTGATGTCCATCACGTAGTGCACCTTTTTCTTCATAATGCAAAATCTCCCTCCAAGACCAAAGTAACGCGCCATTGACAACGTAACTAACATTTCATTTATTTTGACGATTTGTTGCGGCTGTCAAGTCGATACAATGGTTGATGGTACAGTCTTACGATGAAATTGCCATTTAGGTGACAATACTGGTAAACTAGCTCTTCAAATTACCCTTAGCATCTCAAAAACCGAGAATTAGGTAATTGTAATAAAATTTAAGAAGATTGGTTACTCAATACTCTGGCTATTTTACGCAGAACCTCTGCCTATTCAGTAACTTTACTTCGCTGGGTTTTTGAAAAAGAGCAAAAGTCATTTTGATAGGAAACACATTAGATTTTGTTGATTTTACACACGTAAACCGGACCAATCAACTGCCACTCAGTACAGTCTTTAATTTTTCACCCATTCCCATTTTAATTGGTTTGTCTTCGGGATGAAAATAACCCTAGGTCAACTTTTGAACTCATCGGTGTTGTATTCTGCAGTAGTTAGTTACACCATCGTCTAATTTCATTCAACACCTCAACAATGATCTACTGCGGGATCTTCAGCTGTATTACAAAAAACAGGGTACTTTAAAGGAACCCTTTAATGTCCATGGTCATTCAGAAAAAATGGCCTAAGTCATCTCACATACCTAGAAAATCAGCTAGGCTATGCTGGATTAATGGCAGTTCCTCTCATTTTAATTTGCTATATCTCTGGAAAGTGAAGTATTTTTTGCAAAATTTAATTGTAAAATGATTTTTAGGGGCGGATAATTGGTTTGATCTAAATTGTACTGTTAATTCGGTTGTGGTTCGTATGAGAAAGCGCATCCATAATCCACCACTTGTTTTTACCTCCTTCCCGTAGGCAAACGAGCCTTAATGACGCAGTCACTTCACGTCCAGTGGTAATTACAACCCGCCTATCATAATTTGAAGGTATTCATTCTTGGCATAGCTAAAAGGTTTTCTTCTTCGCCACCCCTACCTCTAGCTCTCAGAACTGGAAACCTTATTCCGCACCACTTGTCTTCATATAAGCCTAGGCATAATGGTAAATTTACGGATTAGTTTGGCTAATGTGGGCACATGTGATGGTTCGTTCTTTGAAATTTCACAGACAGGTCTTTTGTAGTAGCTGCGTAATTCCAGACAGCAGAATGTCAATAAATAACCCTTTCATTGATCTCATGTTAATTGCATAATTTTAGAACGACTTCATTCATGATTAATATATGCCGACTGAATGTGTAATACGTGCATATTTTGTTTAACTCTTGGCATTGATAGCGGGCCATCTAGGGGCGCCACCATTACACTTTCGTCAAGTAGTCTGGTCTTTGCACCATGTTAATAGCCCCATGCCCTCCTTTACATATTATGCCCAAGTATTAAGATTTCTTCTGTCTTCAGAGAGGCTACAACAAGTCTCATGAATTCTTCGGATTTCTTTGCATCTGCGCAATACACTGACAACTTTGATTGATGCGTTAAGGGCATACCTGTCTTATTCCAAATTATGCGAGTGTTTGGTGGCATTTATCACCGCGAAACTGATTCTGGAAAAAATATACGTGTAAATAATGTTTTACGTTGGTCGCTTGTTTAACACTTGGTTTTGGTAAAGGGGCCACTTAAGGGCTCCGCCATTGTAAGTTCACCGGGTGGGCTGGCCTCTGGCTTGTATCGGTAGCCCCAAGCCCCACGGCATGTCGACAGTCCATATTCTGTCCAAGTCGTTACAAGTATATTGAATATGGCACACCAAAATGCAAATAAGTACGTCAGTTTTGTTATTTTAACTGCATGTATTTTGCATAAAGCATGGGTAGATAACCCGGTCACTCA